TTGCCAGAGCCATTCAAAAGATCATTTATAAATATAACACCTTTTGCATTCCAGGTTTGATCGAACACAGTTTTCCTTTCGATTAAGATGTTTGGGTTAAACCAGATGAATTGAGAGGTGAGATGTTGTGAATCAGCTGCCCCATGTCTATATAATAAGTCCCATCAACCATTTAGAAGATCACAGTAGAAATTGTTGTGAAAAAATGGAATGATAACATTTCTTAGATTTGGTCGATTATATTGAAAAATAGTGGCAGGATCCAGTTTAGGTAGATTTTCAGAAAAAAAGATTACACTATTTGGTGTGGGTATTATAAAATCGTCTTATGACAGAAATGTTTTGAGCTTGAATTTTTTCTTATATATAAGGTCCATTAAGACCACCATCTTAAACAGTTCATATCGGGTTTGTTTCCCCATATAAATCGAAAACATTTACCTTGAAAGTCCTAAATCAATTTGTCCGGAGGATTAGGTATAAAGGCAAACAAATGGTTTGATTTTGGAAGGACAAGAGATTTCAACACGGTGGTTTTGCCCAAAGGGGTTACGCATCGAGCTGACCATATTGACATGAGGTTTTCACAATGTGTTAACTTATCTTTGTATCTTATCAATCATATCTTCAATATCCAAGTCAAATTTTATTCCTAGTAGTTCAAAATTACTTTGTTCCCAGTTTAGATTCCATTTCGGACACCGTTTCATTCTTGAATGCTTCTTCGAACCAATCCAAATAATTCTTGTTTTGTCAATGTTGACTTGAAAGTTGGAAGCACTGCTTGTAGACAGTGTTCTGTTACATCTAGAGCACAGGTAGTATCATCAGCGAACTAATTTAGTATATATTGAAAAGCTTGGTTGACAGAATCCTAAATTACGAACGCAAGTATCCACATCTACTAAGACGTCTTAATTACCGACAGTATTTACCAGAATGAGTGAGTGAGTGACTTTAGTTTTACGCCGCACTCAGCAATATTCCACTTAGGAGGCGGCGGTCTGTAAATAATCGAGTCTGGACCAGACAATCCAGTGATCAACAGCATGAGCATCGATCTGCGCAATTGGGAACCGATGACATGTGTCAACCAAGTCAGCTAGCCTGACCACCCGATCCGCCTCTTACGACAAGCATGGGTTACTGAAGATCAATATTCTAACCCGGACCTTCACGGGTCTTTACCAGAATGAACACGATATCATATAGGAACAAATGAATCTCAAATAAAGTCGATTTAGCAAGACAGAGTTGGCTGTAACAAGAAACAAGACGTTGACTAAGGTTTTGTTGATCTATAATTTAGCTCTTATCCTGTATTATATTTGATCAATTGGGGAAAAGTTCTACCAATAATAGTGACCATTATTATGAACAATGGGTCATGTTCAAAAGACATTAAGGTGTTGTTTATAGCAGCATCGTGTACATCTATGTCTTTTAAAAAAACGAGGCTTTGCGAAAGATCACTTTTGAAACAACGTCGCTGATTGCACAACAAAATCTGAATCAACCAATCACGAATCCTGAACACTCGCATCATGAAAGGGAAGTATTAGAACGTGGGTAGATATGACCTTAGTAACCACTGTGGGAAGACAATGCAGACAGGCATGCATTTAAACATGTTTATTTTATTATCTAAAAAGTTGTTTGCAAAAGGCTATGAGTCAACATGAACGTTCAGAGCAATGTAAACACAGGCTACCCAAATACTTTGCTGCTCATCCGCTCAGTGTGTATCTATCATAGCCTGGAGACAAAAGCAGATTATTAAACAGCTTTCGTCTTCGTGTAAGTAGATATATACAGAAGCAAAGGTTATAGTGACACGCAAACAACAAACAGTTTCAGAGTTAGACCTTTACTGCAGCAAATGACATTTTATTACATGGAAAGACAAAAGTGTCAAGGTAACGATGTTAACGATCAAGAGTTAATAAGAGCAGCTCATGCATATGCAAATAACCACAACACAAGAGGGGATTTACAAGCAAGTTCACACCGTCAGCAGCGAGTGTGTCAACCTTGTGCATTGATGCAGTTCTGGCACCTTCGCCTCATTGAGGCCACTAAACGTAGTTGATAGTTCTTTGGAGATCATTCAAATCCGAGGAACTATTTGGCGGAGTCTTAGGTGAGGTGAGGTGAGGTGAGGTGAGGTGAGGTGAGGTGAAATTGGGTTTTACGTCGTGCTTGAGAATATTTCGCTCATATGACGACGTGCATGCGTGTGTGTATGTGTATGTGCGGCTGCTTGTACTAGCCCAGACTGAAGCTGGTTTTATAGTGCTAGCTCACTGAGATACCATGCCGCAGTGAAGCATGAATACACCACTCAGACACATTATACTGACTCCAAGCCGACCAGTCCTTGTTGTACCCATTAAAGCCGAGCGCCAGGCAGGGACCAACAGGTACCATATTTTAACGTCTTTTGGTATGACGTGGTCGGGGATCGAACCCGCGACCTTGCGCTCTCCCGGGCGGACGCTCTAACCACTACACCAGGGAGGCAGTCGCGGAGTCTTAGGATTGTTGTTGGAGGATTGAGGGGATGTCGGTACCGTCGCTCCATTTCATCCCAGGCGTGTTCAATGGGGTGATCAATCAGAGGATCAAGCATATTAACATTGTCCTGCTTAAGATGGTGTACAATTCGAGCAAACGTTTGTAACGTCAAAACGTCAAAACATCACTCCAGGGCCGCTCTGTTACTAAAACAGTAAAGTGGCTAAAATCTCGTCTTGGTACATCACAGCATTCAGTTTCCCTCAGTCACAATCATTGGCTGGTGGTTTCAATCCACCAGTCTTGTCGAGTGGCCACTAAGGGGGGCGGTCTGCAAACGTCGCCATGAGAGCCACATGGTGTTTCCTTAGACGTTATTTTGATGAACCACGTCACGATGCTGGGTACCAGACCGAGTCTTATAGCTCTCCCGCTGGTCATTTTCCCGAGGCGTGGCATTACGAACGTTCCAGAAACATGAACAGAAGTGTTCTACTGACTTAAGCCCTTCTCAAGACTGCACTGTGGAAACCAGTAATGGGCTTCACTTAGTGTACCCATGTGGGGAATCGAACCCGGTCTTCGGCGTGACGAGCGAACGTTTTAACCACTAGGCTACCCCGCCACCCCTTGACATTACAAGACCACAGATGAGGACACACACTGGTGTGTTGGCTATTTATTCATCTGATGTTTGTTTGAATGTTTTATTCAATGATAAGGGGAGAAATATTGTTTCAGAAAAATCGAACATCGCTCATAACATAACGCGATTAGCATAAATTTCATCGGTGAAATATCTGTGAAAATGATTCCCCGCACAGTTGAGATTGTTATGTTAGGAGCACTGAGAGATGAGAAGAGTCTAGCTTGAACCTCTTCATTAGTACGATCTGCGAAGCCCATTATGTATGGTATTGGTTGAATATTTCACGAAGAAGGCATAGCACAATATTCACAGGTTTTCTAGCTAACAAAGGAATGCAACGCATTTGAACATCTGCATCAGTGGCGAATATGAGTGAGTGAGTATGGTTTTCAGCCGCTTTTAACAATATTCCAGCAATATCACAGCGGGGAACATCAGAAATGGGTTTCACACATTGTATACACCTCCCTTGATGCTAGACCTAATAGGTAAAATATACAAACATGTATATGTTTCACACCATCCTCGGCCAGCAGGGCATTATACCAGAGTTCCATGATGAGTGAGTGAGTATATATTTACGCCGCTTTTAGCAGCATTCCAGCAATATCGCGGCGGGGGACACCAGAAATGGGCTTCACACATTGTACCCAGAAATGGGCTTCACACATTGTACCCAGAAATGGGCTTCACACATTGTACCCATGTGGGGAATCGAACCCGGGTCTTCGGCGTGACGATCGAACGATTCAACCACAGGTTACCGCACCGCCCCGTGGCGAATATGAAACTAAAATAGTGACTTCGAAGACAGAGTAAATTAAACTGTGCGTGATAGATAGATAGTTCTACTAGTTTCATCATCAGATTAATCAGATTAAATATAAAATTATACAGATTGATACCACCTACACTGATATACACACACGTGTGAGTCTGTGCGTGCGTGTGTGTCTGATCTGACCATCAGTGGTTACGTAAGAGATTGTGTGAAAGGGGTTTTAGGTACATTGCCTATGGGACAGCTTTGCCTATGCACAAACCCAGTACAACCTAATGGGAGCATTTATAAGTCCGTATTGCTTCATCACATGACGTGTGCTCCATAACCTTTGGAAATGTCAGTGGTAAACTGTTTTCCGCTGCACGCCATCAACGACTGATCCAAATAACTGCTACAGATGACAGATTTATAACAATTTGCCCATAAGCTTGTAACATGCCTGTTGAATGCCGAACAGTCGCGACCTTAAACTTGGACCAGGATCCAACTAACTCTAACATCATCGAAACTTGTGTTTACAAATATACTTCTGAATATAAAGCTGAAATGTATGACATACATCTATGCAGGAAAGATACAACAGACATGCTGTGTAATTATTAAAACGTTTAGACGACAACATACTGTCAATCATTTATCTAAAATGAGTCAGCAATAACACGCCGCTTCGAAAATGCTCAGTAAGTTCAGTTTTACCCCGCTTTTAGCAATATTCCGGAACTATCACCGCGGGGGACATCAGAGATTGGCTGCACACATTGTACCCATGTGGGGAATCGAGTCTTCGGCGTGACGAGCGAACGTTTTAACCACTAGGCTATCCCAGGTGTGCTATAAGGTATGACAAGCGAACGATTACGTCAGAAATCTACCCTATCTCTTCCGTCATTCGAACTAGATTCTATCAATCCAGCTGCAGGCACCTAACACATTTTCCGTCAGTGTTATTCCTTATGTCATAAAATACCGCCCGTTTCCTCATTACACGTTGGTTATTCAATAATAACATATTATTGTTCTTGTTATTGTTGTTATTATCATCATCACACCTACCTTTGAGTTATTCCACATCAGGTTCAGCCTATATCCCGGAAGGACATCCGCACGCTCGTTAATCTGTTCCAGACCAATCTCAACAGCGTTCAACAACGCTATCCCCCCGGGCCAGGATCCCTCGAAGGGGAAAAGTCCAAGAATATATAGGTCAATTTGGCAGAAACACCTCGTCACCATAACGAAAACGGCAGATACAAAGAGCAAAGACATATTGACAGTCCCACTCGTTGTCCACCACAGAAACTATATATCCGTCGCTTGACTCACATACATGGGATGATTACCGCTGGGACTTTCGTTGAATAATTTGCTTCCATGTTTGCACGGGTTCCCAACTGACTGACCACACAGTATTTACGTCTAAGTCCTTTCCAGGCTGTTGATCCGCCGCAATCCGTTAGGTACCGTTTCTTGAGTAAAGAACATATTCCAGGTTTGGTGATAGTTTTCATGCAAAGTCTTATTAAATTACCGCGAAAGGTCTTTATCCATCACGAAAGTGTATTTTACAAAACAAAAATATAGAAAAAGGTTAGACTCGACTGTTTGAGAAAATTTGGAGAAAATGACGAAATGTTTGATGAGATGTGTAAGAATCAGTCTTCTTGGTGTCCATATAACGGTTATATTAACATTTCGCTAAATGGTCAGGATGTTGCACTGTCCGTTCTCACAATCTCATCTTCATCAGTTGGAGTAGCACTGATTGTCTTCTTTTTATAAACATGAGCTCCAACTCCAAATCCCATACCCGATGCCATTCGTCCGACTCTGTTGTGAGAGAGCCAATGGTACCTCTCGAAACATACTCATTGATTAATCTCCCAGGCCCGGTTGTCACTGTGGAGACTACAGGTAGAACGGACTGGTCAGTGGTCAGGTGAAGAGACGTGTTGACATATGTGGACACAGTTTTGGTAATCCATTACAGAACTGTGAAGATCAACGTGAATGATTATGGGTTTATGTCATTGTAGCTCGTGTGAATGAACAGGAACTGCGATTACGTGATGTGGGATTGAGTGAGTTACTCATCTAAAACAACCTTCGATCATCCATTCAACCTGGCTGAGGTTTTTAAATTAGCATCAGGATTCGTTCTCAGGCGGTAATCACGTAGGGGAATGGTAATGCTGAATGTAGGCACTAAACAAATACCGTTATTTCCGTTAGGACCATAATTACAAGTAAATGAAGCGGGCGATAGTCGAGTGCTGGGATTGATATGCCAGTGCTGATTTTGATAATCTGTTTGCTTCATGATTCGATGTGGATATAATGAGGACGCAAAGAGGTGGAACAGATTCTCATAGGAGGCGATGTAGACGTGGACGGAGAGGTGATATGACGAGAATGGGTAGTGGGTGAGGAAGAGAGTCTTCTATGGATGTCAACTTGACATCCATAAAAACTCTCTTCCGTATGTGTATCACTTCTAAATGCCATTAAAAGACTGGGTAGCAAGTGAGTGAGTGAGGTTAGTTTTACGCCGCACTCAGCAATATTCCAGCTATATGGCGGTGGTGTGTAAATAATCGAGTCCGGACCAGACGATCAAGTGATCATCAGTATGAGCATCGATCTACGCAATTGGGATACGATGACATGTGTCCACTAAGCCAGCGAGCCTGACCACCCGATCCCGTTAGTCGCCTCTTACGATAAGCTGCTGAAGATCAATTCTAACACGGATCTTCACGGGTGCTAAAACAATTGTGGAAGGGCACCCTTTAATTTCCCAGCCTCGATTATTTAGTTGCTAAAACAACTGTGGAAGGGCACCCTCATAGATATAGTATGGTGACAGCATCTTGTCTTGTCTTCTGGTGTGACCATGGGATCGAACCTCCTGCTCTTCAGGCGCTCTATCCAGTAGAGTGGTGCTTACATTACAACAGATGCAATAGTTAGTTTTATTGATTGTTGTTTAATGCCGCACTCAGCAATATTCCAGCTAAATGACAGCTGTCTGTGAATAACTGGGTTTGGACGAGACAATCCCGTGATCAACAACACAATAATAACTCTACGCAATTGGGGACCGATGACATGTGATCTTACGACAAGCATGGCTTGCTGAAGACCATTAGTGATGGTGTTGGTAGTCATCGTCGTCGTCGTCGTAGTAATAGTAGTAGTAGTAGTAGTAGCATTAGTAGTAGTAGGATTATTATTATTATTATTATGTTTTACAGATTAAAGATAATATGCAGCAGAGAGGGTTCGGGTGATCCTGGCACAGTCAGGCTGGTAAGGCTCATCATCAGCTCAGGGCCCTTGCCCCCTCTACACGCAGCCCAGACAGCGAATGGGACTTCTCCCAGGAAACGCTGCCTAGTCGAACCCACCAAGAACTTTCCGGAGAATATGAAGGCTCCCCAACACTGCAGCCTTCTGCATTACCCAGAGTGTCAGAAGAGCTGTACTCCCGGTGGAGAACCCGGGCACTCTCCTGATCTGCGCCAAGAGATCAGGAGGTACCAAACCAAGGGCACCGAGAACAATGGGGAGCCTGACGACAGTGTACTTGGGATGCAAGCGAGACATTTCAAAGGCGAGGTCCGCATATTTATCATGCTTTTCCTTGATCTTGTCAATCACATTCCTGTCAAAGGGACAGAAAATTCAATGATATATATAAATTCATTGGCTTTATCAAAAAGGACAAGATCAGGTTTGTTGGCAGGAATTCTTCTGAGGCTGTATATGGGCCTATTCCACAGAAGTTTGAAAGCATCATTTTCCATGACGCCCTGGACATGTTCCGGGTCGTACCATGGATGGACCTCGTAGTCAAAGCCACAGGCATGTCGGAGACGGTAGTAAAAGCAGCGAGCCATGCCATCATGTCGTTTAAGATATGCTGTTTGTGCCAAGGAAGGGCATCCACTGACAAGGTGTTGGACAGTCTCTGTGAATTCATTGCAAAGTCGACATTTCATGTTAATATTCTCTTTAAGAATCACATTTAGGCGATTACGAGTGGGAAGTGACTGGTCCTGAGCAGCAAAAAGGAAGCCCTCAGTTTCACATTTAAGACCAGCCGACTTCATCCAGGCGAAGGAGTCGGAGGGATTGCTATTCTGTTCAACACACTGCATGTACACACGATGCAATGGCTTCTCAGAAAGCTTCTCCACAAAAGACCGACTCTGGGCAGACTTGGTGAAGGACTTCACCTGGTTTACTCCCATCGCTGTACCGTCCAGCAGTACATCGCCATCAGCAAAGTCAACCTCAAATTTGAGATTCTGTCCAACAACCTTGGCACGCTTAAAATAGCTGTGGAATTCCTTGCTTTCATCATGAGTCTTCACATGCATCACCAGAGGATCATCCGATAAATAAATATGTGCAAAAGTACACAATATAATTCTGTCATGAAGAGCCTCCACATTAATCAAACCCCGACCTCCAGAATTGATTGGCATATATACACGGTTAAGAGAGGAACGAGGGTGGTGGGCTCTGTTATCAGACATGATCCTTCAGGTCAGGCGGTCAAGACTCTGGATATCTTGTTTCGTCCATTCAACTACTCCAAAGGAATAGGAGAGGACTGGCACAGCAAAAGTATTGGTGGCTTTGACCTTGTTTCGAGCATTTAGCTCTGAGCTCCAGATTTTCTTTAAACGAGATTTGTACTCGGCCCGAAGTTTGTCTTGAATCTGGGCATTCTGGAGCTTATCTCGAACTTGCATTCCAAGATAGGTGTAGGCCTGATCTTCCACAAGATGCTCAATAACTCCTCCCCCTTGTAACTTGACCGATCCATCATTAGTTACCTTGCCACGTTTCAAATGAAGAGTATTACATTTGTCGAGTCCAAATGTCATGCCAATATCATTCGAAAAGGACTCGACAAGGAGAACCTGCTCTTTCAAATTGGTATATCCTTTGGCAAGGAGCTCGATATCATCCATGTAAAGGAGATGAGTAAGAGGTGTTGGGGATCTGTGCTGAGGAGGTCCGGGATGGTAACCCTCCTCTTTATTGAGCAGAAAGCTCAAAGGATTTAAAGACAGACAAAAAAGCAAAGGACTAAAGGAATCCCCCTGAAATATTCCCCTTCTGATTGGAATAGATTCCGAAGTCTGCACCTGCCCCAGCGAGTACATCTCAAGTTGAGTCGACCAGCAACTCATTAAAGACTTGAGTAAATCAAGTAGTCGCTGAGGGAGGTCAATACAATGAAGAGACTTCAGAATCCATTCGTGAGGGACAGAGTCATATGCTTTTTTGTAGTCAATCCAGCACATGGAGAGGTTGCGGTGATATGTTTTAGCCTCTTCCAAAATCATTTTCTGTACAAGAAGTTGATCCTTGCACCCCCAACATCCCTTTCTTGCTCCCTTCTGCTCTCTGTAAATGATATCATTGGAAGAGCAGTAAGATGACACGAGGTTTGTCAAACACCCTGTGAATATTTTGTATTGTGTATTCAAACATGTGATAGGGCGGAAGTTTTTGGGATCAGTCAAGTCTCCTTTCTTGGGGAGAAGTATTGTGCGACCTTTGCAGAACCATGGAGGAACATCACCTGTGTCCACAAGAGTATTGAAACAGTGTAGTAATGGTGTTTGGACACAGGGGAACAGTTTCCAATACCGATTTTGAATGCCATCAGGCCCTGGAGCTGTATTAGATTTGGACTTTTTTATAACACTTTTCAGGCAATCTGGTGAGATGTAACAGACAAACGACCTAGTTACCTTCTCGTGCATTGCATGGTCATAATCACGGACCCATGGTGCCTCAAGGTTACAGTTGCCGGGTACAGACCACAACTGTTTCCAGAACCTTTCACTGGCATCCATGGGGGGGCCGTTTGTCATGTTCACCATCACCCTTTGCTTTCAGTTGCTTGTAGAAGTGCTTTTCATTGTTTCTAAAAAGTTTATTTTGTTTAATGAATTTATTTTTCTTTTCCCATTTTTCTTTCTTTCAGTCCAAACCTTTATTTTTTGCCTTAAAGGAATCGACAATTTGGAGAAGTATCTTTCTTTCGTTGTTTTATATTTCAGTTTTAATTTTCTCCAAATTGCCTTTTGTCTTTTGACATTGGACTGCCTGATGATCTTAACTTCAGGCACAGCTCTATCCAGGAAATGTATTTTCTAGTTTCCGTTAGTTTTACTTGAAACCGGTTTTTCTTTGGTGTAGTCTTCTTAGTATTGGATGTGTTTTCTTTGAAACTGTGTGAAGTTCCTCCAAGGTTCGAGCGGCAGCATAGACACAACAATTAACTTCATGTAATGAACAGTCCGATGAAAGTTTCATAGAAATAATATCATTTAATAAATTAATTTCATTTTGGGGAAAAGATGCATTTGTTTGTTTAATAGGCCTCCGATTTTCTAAAGGTATGCCAGATATTTCATCATAAATAGAATGAAACAAAATATACACAGGATTTTCAGAAAGATCTGCAACTGAGGAAGAGGAAGAGTGAGGGTCTGAAATTTCGGGGCCAATTGGCTCTATGCCGGAAGAGTTTCCATCAGCAAGAGGAAAGAGGTTGACACGGACGTCCATTCGAAGTTTTGGGTCTGCTGCCACTTGAGCATTCTGTTCATGCAAAGGTTCCTGACGGGCACCAGTTGTGGGTTGAACTGGCTCACGGGGCAAGAGATTTTTAAGCCGCCGGAATTGATCTCGGAGATTTTGCTCCGTCAGGTAAGCATACATGGGCATGGCATTGTCCCAATGCAGCTTCAGCGACTTGCCATTGATACGTGGATTTTCAGGCCATCCTGTCGCTCTCGCACACTCAAGTAGTGTGGTTTTAAGGTGGTTTGACCAAGATATTCTTGGTCGGGTTCTGTGCCTTCCCCTGGGGCAAGTCCCATCTCCAGTATGGTTGGTTTCACTACCGGAGGAAGGCTGACTGGGCTGCGGAAGTGAATCTATACTTTCCTTTTGGCTGTCTGTAACCCAGTGAAAAACCAGCTTCGGGGGGTCAGCCCTAACTGGGTGATGCACGTTTGGTTCAGGGAATATAATTCCCCTATCTAGGCCCACCACGGAGAGGCGTACATCATCAGGCCCTTATTATTATTATTATTATTAGTAGTAGTAGTAGTAGTAGTAGTAGTAGTAGTAGTAGTAGTAGTAGTAGTAGTAGTAGTAGTAGTAGTAGTAGTAGTAGTAGTAGTAGTAGTAGTAGTAGTAGTAGTAGACCCCCACCCCGCCTCGATTGTAACTACCGCACACTCTTCTAAATCATCCGGACCATGATCAACACCTACTTTCAACACCTCTAACCACATCTAAAACCAGTGGCTTCGTTTGCTTTCCAAAACATCATCAACCAACACATCCTCCACTGAAGATAATGATAACTTCCATCGAGAACGGATGTCGATGAATCAATGGAGGAGGCTGTAGGGAAGAGACAATGACAAGCATTTGACTAATGGATAGCTCCTTGTTCCACAAGGACATCTAGGGTTATAGAATATGACGGTTTCATTTCAATTGTCGTCGAACACAGAATGGTTTGAAATAGCAGTTTATTCTCCTTGTTAGAAAAACAATCTCTTTGATGTCCATCGTCCGTTTGATGTTTGATTGTTTCATTGATGTTGTATGCATTTTACATTATCTCATATTATTGTATTATTAAAGAATATATGTGGGGGATCTACATTATAGATACACATTTACCTGGTTTGGAAATGTGTGTCGAACCTACTATTTCCTGGAACCCATACATCAGCATGTCCCTTGAGGTTCAGTTTAAGAGTGAGGTGAGGTAAGTGGAGTCGATCTGAGCTTAACTGAGTTCTAGGTAAGTTGAGGAGGAGTCTGAATGAGGTTGCGTTGAGGTTTAATGTCGTGTTCAAGATGACTGCCGTTGCTTAGAACGCGCTTGCGTGTATTTGGGTGTGGCTGCTTGCAGTAATCATGACTGATGGTACCAGAGATTCCATGACACATGATCGTGATCCCAAGTTGACAGGTCACTATATTTCGCCTTCTTGCCGAGCGCAGAGCAGGGTAACAATAAGTACCATTGTTTTAGTATGACGTAGCCAGTTGTCTCTTTTGGGCAAGACGCTCTCGCATACAAGACCACGAAGACGCTCTCGTTTGAAGTAGGCCTACATTGGATTGTCAGTTAAAACAATGTCAAAGTCTAAGTAGTTGAAGTGGTATTGTTTGTTTGTTTGTTGTTTAACGCCGCACTCAGCAATATTCCAGGCATATGTCGAGACGTCTGTAAATAGTCCAGTCTGGACCAGACCATCCAGTGATCAACAGCATGAGCATCGATCTACGCAACTGTGATACGACGACATGTGTCAGCCAAGTCAACGACCCCGTCAGTCGCCTGTGTTGCTGCAGATCAACCCCGACTCGAAGAATTAGTAATCTGCATGAGGAGTAGCAGTCAGTTACTGTAGTTGTTTGACGTCGCTGTAGGATGCAAAAACACGAAAGCATTATTCCTTAAGTATGATAATTTAAGGCTTGTTAATAATTATATTGAAACCTTGAAGGCATACCTTAATTCAAATGCGTTGTAATAATAATTACATCAAATGGACTGACTGACCGACTGACTGACTGGCTGGCTGGCTGGTCTTTGGATGGGTGGCTGGTTCGTTGGCTGGCTGGCTGGCTGGTTGGTTGGTGGTTGACTGGCTGGCTGGTTTATAATATAGGATTATTTTTAGGTGAAACTGAGAAACAGAATTTTCCTCCAAGCTCAGGCGAAGAATTAATCGCCGCAAGGTCATGACGAAGGGAATGTTTTAATGCATGACGGATATCTTGAAATGAACATTTGACGGTGACAAACTGACGACAATTGTTGCTCTATACGTCGCATAATCCCTCTCTGGACGTGATGATATGAGCTATTGCCCTCGCCACTTGGATCACGAAATATCGCAATTATTAATATTGATAATACATTTATATAGACGATAAACGTATCTGTATAAAGTAAAAGTCAACATTCTGTACTAAAGAGTGAGTGAGTGAGTGGGTTTAGTTTTAAGCCGCACTCAGCAATATTCCAGCTATATGGCGGCGGTCTGTAAATAATCGAGTCTGGACCAGACAATCCAGTGATCAACAGCATGAGCATCGATCTGCGCAAATGGGAACCGATGACATGTGTCCACCAAGTCAGCGAGCCTGACCACCCGATCCCGTTAGTCGCCTCTTAGTCTTACGACATGCATAGTCGCCTTTTGTGGCAAGCATGGGGTTTTTTTTGCTACCCCGGATCTTCACGGGTCTCTGTAAAGAAGAATACTAACTACATTAATGACAGCAATTACAACATTTACCGCTAAACAATCCTGTGAGGTGATTGTTAACGGTTATATTTAGTTTTTAATTAGTTTTTAGTTTTTAATATTTTTTTTAGTTCGTGCCTTTATTGACTGTACGCAGCGAGCGTTCACGACAACATAGAATGAAGTAAAGACTTTAGTCGGGTTTCGAAGCGCGATCCGTGGAACCTGACATAACTAAGGGACACAACTTCGCATAGCAACTTACTGTGTTTTAGACCACTACTAGAGTCATGTCTACCAATAAGGCATTGGAAATCTCAATTCAATATTATCTTCAAATGCTGAGTATTAACAAAGTGCTAAAAAGAGTGAAAAGTTGGGACCACATTCATGTTCATACGACTTGGGGCGGTGTTAGCCAAGAGGTTAAAGCGTTCGCTCGTCACGCCGAAGACCCGGGTTCGATTCCCCACATGGGTACACTGTGTGAAGCCCATTTCTGGTGTCCCCTGCCGTGGTGTTGCTGGAATATTGCTAATAGCGGCGTAAAACCATACTCACTCACCCATACTGAACATAGCTTTTCTTTGTAGGTCTGCTCACATGTGTTTTCAGAAGCATTGCCTTCAATTATCAAGGAGTAAGATGTCACTGAGTACTGTTGTATGGCATGAGGAACAATATTTATGCACTTGAGAGAGTTGATGATTGTTACCTTTCGAGTAGGCCACGTGTCCTCACTGTTTTGAAGTGATCCATTCACATAATTTTCACTCTTTTTCTTTTTCTGCTTGTCACTCTCGACGTTATCTGCTTTTTCTGATCTTCCAGACTGATTATTTACTGGTTATTAACGTGTAAAAACACAAACATAAATGTTTCTATTATTTCTGATGAAAAATCGTATTTCTTTATTTCGAAAAGCACGCACCATTTCAAACTTAACACAAATCAGCCTTGCCGGAATTGCTAAATAAACCACGCAGCTGTGTAGGGTCTTATATTCCCACTCGACCACTTGTATTAAGTATCACATGATTATATATTCCGCATACATTCGCAGGCCTCTACCCAGCCACCCGTGACACTTACTGCACGTTTACTTTCAACGCCCGACCTTGCTCATTGATCCGCTGAACACCTATCGCATTGATTTGAAGACAGTCAAATACCAGTCAATCTTGCACACCTTTGAACACAACACAAAGCCACCCTTTAAGGGTAAGTAGCCTGGATACCACATCGAATTTGAGAGCCCGCTCTATTCACAAAGGGAGGTAACTGAGGTGTATTCACTCAAGCGTAATTCTTCTCTATGTAAATAAAGGGCTTCAAAGACGTTATACCTAGGGCCCATGTCTTTCTTTTGACTGAATCAAAACTGTCCCGACAACTATGTCATATCCTGAATATACCAAGTCGTGATACTAGCGGTATTGACATAACAGGAACCTGACATGTTGGTGTAAACCAGGGTTATGTGCTCGGTCCGGATCCGGGAAACATGTGGTGAATATAAACTCACCTTACATCTGTCTAGTTGATACGTGATTTCGTTATTGGATTGGTGTTACTACACTGTATAACAGCGAGGTAAGTATATTTAAAAAATAATCATCATAATACTGTGACATATATAAATGAAGGAGTGAGGCAGGGGTGCTTCATGCCTCCGTATCTGTTTAGGTAATTGTAGGAGAATGTGTTTACGTAAGCATGTCGTTTCTACTCTGGCATTGTTGTCATTTTGGTGAGGATTAGTCAAACCACGTTGCTATGTTTCTGTAAACAAGATTATTATTCACAAAACGTGTGCCATTGTTTTGTGTAGCAGTAACACACGTCGTAGGCGGGTTTCTCATTCCATGTATCGCATACACTTAACATGGCACTTGGTTCACGATGAAAGTTTGTAGTGCTGTTGTAATTGTGTGAATGGAACAGATCAGGCTTTTATTATGCAGCAACTATTTATATGAAATAACGACTTTCTGTGTAATTTTTACTGTATTTAGTGATTTGTCAGCAGTATTGTATATCTTTATTTGGGAAATCAGCATGAACTCTATGTGGAAACTATTTAATAATGTAATATCGTAATAAACACTCCAACATGACAAATCCGTGATGTATATGTGGATATTCAGTTTGTGGCCGACACACATGTGCACCAATCCTATAAATAGTTCATAATATCCAGCCAACTCAGTCTTGTAATATCCCCTTTCTTGGCTTTGTCCCCGCTAAAGTGGCCACACCCATCAGTGACATCGTCCTGGATATTGTGAGAGGATTGCATTACATCCAGCAACCATGCGCACTAGACCACAACGACGTCCCACAAAGGATAAATATGTCCTATATTACTGTTGTCAGACATCGTGTTAAACCTACACACTTAAAGTTTGAGTCTTGTTAGAGGGAGTGCTGTACGGCTATAACGCTACCCTAAAACTGTTTACGAGGAAATGCATGGCAGAACACATTCTGCTTTGTAATCGTTCTAATTTGTTGTAATAACAAAACAATTTTGGCAACTAGGAAACGTATGGATATGTGAGTGAGTATTGTTTAACGTCGCTCCGAGCTCTATCTAAGGTATATCACGATGTGTATGTTTAATGTGGAAAGAAAACCCGAAGTGACACATTTTTGTTGGTTGATGAAACCCATGAGCGTGGGTTAACGCGTGTGTCAGTGATACACTGACGGTTTTGAACAGAAACTTCAAACTCTACCTGGAAATAGTAAACATCAACTGCTCATTATAGATATATATGATTTTGTATTTTTAAGTGTTTGCATAACATAGTACAACTGTGAAACAATGTAAGAATTCCGTCGGCAAGTATAGAACACATGTAGACAAGGTGTGTTTTTACACGAACATACTGTTTATGATGCATCTAGTTAACCTAAGGCGTATTCTGTTTCATATTGTAAACTGCAGAAATGAGGGTGACACATTGTACCCATGTCGGGAATCGAAACCGTCTCTTTGGCGAATATTCTAATTTCAGAAATACTTGGAAAGTTGAGTTTGTGTTTTTTGCCCTTGTATTCTGCAGAGAACGTTGGATCGGTTGTCTTGGACACATATCGCGTCATCAGTTTTGGCATGACGTCATAATTTTATGTCTCATTGCTGTTGGAGTCTCTGCGTAATTTGAGACTGAAAGGGAAAATTACAGATGAACAGTGAGTGAGTATGCTTTTACGCCGCTTTTAGCAATATTCCAGCAACATCACGGCGGGAGACACCAGAAAGGGGTTCACACATTGTGCCCATGTGGGGAATCAAACCCGTGTCGTCAGCGTGACGAGCGGACGCTTTAACCATCAGGCTACCCCACCACCTACAGATGAACAGACAATTATGTTTGTGACGTTAAATATTAACTCACTCACTCACAATTATGTTTCTTCAGACTTTTACATTGCACAGAAATGCCTGTTCCGCTGAGGTGGCATATGTAAACACGAGTACAAGATCATCCCTGTGTCGGTATTGTTATTTTTCATTCAGATGTGTAAGATTAATAGCGGGGAAATCCAATTTCCTGGCTCAAAGCCTCAACTATTAAAACAGGCTTTTGTAAACACACGGAACAGCTCTGAGTCAGTTTTACACATTCACATTCGACACATTTAGAAATCCAAACAGGCGTTGTATATAAGCAAGAGTTTTGTTTAAAGTGTACATTCCTCCAAATGATTTACCATCTACAAATATTTACGATGTATCTCAGGCAAAATATATAGTTCTTTATACGAAGTGTTGGTTGAAACAACCTGGACGTTGTTGTAGGACTAGCTGAGGATACGGTGGCGTAGATGAACATAATACGAAAGATGAAACTCGCGTAGGTTGGTATGTCAAGCATACAGGCGTGTCTAAATGAATTGATCATGTTAAATTAACATAAATCTCAGCGTGACTTTGTTACGAAAATAAAATTGACAAGTCAAACTGAATACATTGCTTATTAAAAAGTCTGATGTTGATAGCATAAACATTCAGCATCTAATTAATATTAAAATTAGATTGAATATTATTCATGCACGTACACATCAGATTGTAGCTGGAATAGCAAATAGACGTCATCGTATGGAAACGTTTCTAAATATCGTTAAACATACATTGGATAAGGGCAAAATGTGACGATAAACGTGAAATATCGTAGTGTTTAGTGAGTTTAATTCCTTTGGTTTCAGCTTAATTTTGCAAACGCTGGAAAATATTTATTTGACCAAAATAAAATGAATGCGCGTTTGAATTTTGCAATGTTTTCTCAACAATTTTGTCGAAGAATAACTGCTGTTGAAAGCAACCAGGGTTGGGGTTCTCAAACGATGACATTGTCAGTTGGGTGACTGCCTGTATATATACATACACGTTGTGCTTCATATGGAGCAGATAAGACCTAACAACTGACATGGTGATAAAGAAGCGTGATAGGTCACTTGTTCTGTATGTTTGCAGAGGTATTAGATTGGCTGTGACCGGGTTGATGATGTATAATCGTGCATTGCAGATTGAATCATCACTCATGATATTATTGTTTCCCTTCCGTCGCGATTTAGCAAGAACATTGCTGCTGCTCGCTGCGTAAAACAACATTGACTCGCCCTAGAAACAGACTCGACTCATATACTCCTCATCAACAGTTTAGACTCACTTGTGTAAATGTAGCCACTTACTTCAGGCAACTGTTCTTAACTTGATTTTGCAAAATATTCCATTCAGTATAAAGGTACTGTTTACACAAGAACTGATGTATTGTAAAACAAATTCGTAACGTTGAAAAGATTATTGTCATGAGTTCAGTAAATGTTGAAAATCAGTGAAAATTGGCGATTTCATAACAAAACTTTATACCACAACGCTGCTGTTCACATGCACGATATGTGCACATACTTTTCAGCAATTTGATGCATGATCTTAGTGCAATTCATCTGCATAAGATTTGCAGTTGGTTCCCCCAAGTTAGTGGCGAAATTCATCTTCGGTGTCATCATATATATATATGAGGTGTGCTTGAGGTGAGTCTAAACTTTTGATGGGTAGTATATTTCTTGATAAATCCGCTTGACTTTATTGCATTAATAAGACACTTTGCGTCGAGGCTAACCCGACCCCTTCAGTCACCTGTAGAAGCATACAAAACTGACATGACATGATATTGGTGAAGTGAGTGAGTTTAGTTTTACGCCGCATTCAGCAATATCCAAGCCATATGGCGGCAGTCTGTAAATAATCGAGTCTGAACCAGACAATCTAGTGATCAACAGCATGAGCATCGATCTACGCAATTGGAATACGATGCCATGTGTCAACCAAGTCAGCAAGCCTGACCACCCGATCTCGTTAGTCGCCTTATATGACAAGCATGGGTTGATGAAGATCAATTCTAACCCGGATCTTCACGGGTAATTGGTGAAGTGATGGTCATATCAACCAGAATATGTTTAACAATTGAATAAGGGTTACATTACACTTTCCATCGGTAACGCAACAGCACATTTCAAAGTAATCGTAAAATCAATCGATTCCGGGTCAGACAGGTGGTTGATAGCATGAGCACAACCCACGCTGTCTGGAAAGGCATGTTCCTTATATTATAGATGGATATAGGGGAGTTTTTCTACCCCTGATTCGCATTGAGAGAAAACATGAAGCCAGCTTCATGTAGGTAGTTCAGTTGTATTTGTATATTTTACAGAGTTTTACAATGACAAGAGAGTGACATGATTACCATCATATACGCAGCGTGCACCTGCGCTGTCGTGCTTATATGTCTTGGGCTGTCTGAAGCAGGTGGCGTAAGTATTGAAGTGATTGTATTAGCTATTAGCAATGGGATTTACAATGATTTTAATCCGTAGTCGCCATTAAGCCCAAGGATGTTGTATTATCGAGTAATGGACGTTTGACAAGTCTGATCTGGGATATATTGTTTATTGATTATTTTCTTTTTATCAATCAGTTTAAAATGGGAATATGTATCGACGTTGCATCAAAATGAAGAATTTGTGCCTTTTTAATTTTGCCGATTTCTAAAAATATTCCGAAGGGAAGAAGTTTTCCAAGGTTGACACAAAAATCAAAAATTAATCACGAAGATGTGTCAGTCTTTACTTCACAAAATATTTCTGACATTATCATCATAATTAATTCTTTCCGTGGATGCACAAATAATCACGTCGTTTCACTACAGGAAAGACCTAATCCGAAGTCCGATTGTAAGGCTTTTGAGGTGATCAACGTCAAAGTCAACGTCACACCAGGGGAGTTAATTCTGAAATGTTCACACCGTTACCCTCTCACTTGGAACCTGGAAGGTAATGGTTTCGCTTTACCAGACCAATATCTGCAGTTGTGAACATACATCTACATTTTGCTTATAGGGTCATTATTTTCTTACAAAGCAATATAAGAATATATACTGAACCACAAAAGAAACGTCGCTTTTCAAAACCAAATGCAACATTTTGTTCTTGCAAGGTAGTGTTTTTATTATGATTGTACCGTTTTGTTAACAGGTTTTTCAATCCAAATTTACAGTCATTACCAACATCAGTGTGTTTTCTGATGAAAAAGCATATCGACCAAACGCACCGAAAAAGGCAGACATGGTAAAAGGTTCCGTTTGACATTCATGAAAATGAAAATGCACGTGCATGTCGTGACAACCCTACCAATGAAAGCGAGTCACAAACTCGCCTGAAATCATTTTTGTTTTGACACAATCACCATGCCATGACTTAAGAGATCAGAGGAACCAAGTCTTGGGATGATTGCAAAGTTGTCCATAATGCATGGAGGTTAGCCAATCATTTTAATGTTCATGTTAGGACAGTCTGCCGACTGCAGGAATGGTATCATATCACTAACAGCATCCAAGACCGTCCACGCAGTGGGCGACATTCAGTAACATCGCAACGTCAAGACCGACAGATTGTGCGCCACCATCTGCAGAGCGACGGAAACAGTACGCCATGCTATTGGGACTAACAACAGACCCATCAGTGCCGATTCAGTGCGTCGACGTTTGCGCGGAAGAAACCTCTGTTATCACAGACCCTATCGTAGTCCTGCCCTCACCGCTCATCACCGCCAAAACCGACTGCAAGGGGCAACTCAGGATCGAAATAGGCGTTATCGACAATGGAGAACTGTGCTTTTATCTCATGAAAGCCGATATTGTGTTTCGACAGACGATGCCAGAGTGAGAGTATAGCGAAGGCCTGGTGAACTGTTTTCGTATGCGTGTATTGTTGTCGGAAATAGAAAAAAACTGTTTTTAGGCTGTTACTCTTTATCCTTAAAATTGACAAATTTACAAATAGCATATGTCGAAATAACCCACATCGGCCTATCTGGGTATTCAGTTGGATGCGTAATTGTATATCCAGAAAAGCATGTTTACTCGTAAAATCGGGCAAAACTTAGAAAAACTACGAATAGCTGCTCAAAACATTAGATCGGACTATAGATGGCAATTAGGTCGCTCAACCAGGTATGACGACGGATCGTCGACTCACCTGGCATGAAATGCACGTCCTGCCTACAAGCACACAAGGGGTCATCTCAAATATATTTTATGCTTTTTCATGTGTGTTGAATATGTCTCAACTATTGATCATAAAGTTTATGTTGAGATACGTAAACAGGTATGATACCCATGAAAAAACTTAAATCAGCCATCGTATTAAATGTCTCAAAATATATAGGTGGCATGACCAGCCGAAGATCGACAGGACTGGATATTGTGTGTAAATTGTTATGACATGCCGTTTGCTTCCCAGTTTAATTCCCTTAAAGGATTATCTTATCTCAGCTTATATCTCTGTCCCCCAGCCTGACCCTAACCACCGTTTGCGACACCCGTCCTGAATTTGCTTTTGAGACGGCCCCTCTTACCTGTTTCTTTTTATAGTGATAGTGAGACTCCATGGCTGCTACATCCTTCATAGTTTCAGTATTAAAGTTATTTTTTTTTACGTCAGCTATCGTTTATAGTGAAGGTAAGTTTAATTTCAAAATTGACATTCTAAAATTGCCCTTTGTTATATAATATCATTGCACACTAATTTGCATAAAGCCATGGCCTGTTCCAAAAAGTCGCTTAGGAAAAAAAACGCATTTCTCATTTCTGCACTAATGTCTCCTCAGTAAAGTCCTTTTCTACGTTTCCTATCTCCCTACCACTGAGACTGTAGTTAGGTCGAACTTAGTTGAACATATATTTCACACTTACACATATAAACTACATAAATTGTAGATATCAATGCGAAAAACAGTATTTTTTCTATTTCCGACAGTACTTTAGTGTTGTGGTCCAAGCATCATAGTGTGGGGTGCAATCGGTCTAAACCGGTTAGTTGACACTATGGTGTTCCAGGCTCTTGGTCCAGGATGAGGAAATTACGTGGCAGCTGCTCGCTATATTGATTAAGTCATAAGACCCAACGTTGTACCACATTTTGGACGTTACAGAAATCACATCTTTCAGCAAGACAACGGTCGTGCCCACGCTGCCAGAGCAACATTGGACTTCCTAAGACAACATGGCATCAAAACCATACATTAGCCTGCACTTAGTCCGGATTTAAGTCCAATAGAACACCTTTGGGACGAGATTCAATGAAGACTGAACATGGCCTCCAACCAAGGCCGACAACTGCGACTGAACTCGATCAGGCATTTCGCAGATTATGGACCCAAGTGCCTATGGCCTTCAGCAACCGGCTATTTCATTCCATGTACAGACGATGCAACGCTTTCATCCATGCCCTTTTCATGGAGGCCGCACACGATACTGACTTTAGGATATCAGAAGGGTACCATTTGGTGATTTTGTTTGTGTAAACTGTGAATGTGATTCCCGTAAATATGTTAACCATAATTGTCAAGTTTGAACTCAGTCCTTCGTTTTGATAGTTAATTAGTGTGAATTATAATGTGCTTTAAGAAACCGCTATCGGTGCGACATTTCTTTTGTGGTTCAGTATACCTTATTCACTGACAAAAAATGGACATAATCCCCTGACAACTAAGATTGACGTCAAGGACCGCCGGAGTGTGTGAGTGAGTATGGTTTTACGCCGCTTTTAGCAATATTCAGCAATATCACGGAGGGGGACATCAGAAATCGGCTTCACACAGTGTACTCATGTGGAGAATCGAACCCGGGACTTTGGCTTGACGAGCCAATGCTTTAACCACTAGGCTACCCCACCGCCCCAGGACCAGTGTCTCATTCCACTGACTACGGAGTACATGAGTTGTCTTATGGCAATCCAATCAGCACAGCTATAGTATGTTTGCGGTGAAAACGTACCGATGAATTTCGCTTTAAACAAAAATGTAAATCAAATAAAGAAAAATTAAGATTGCGAATCCTCATAATTTTACCTTGCCATTTCAAAATTTAAATCTCAGATTTTTATTCAACTTAGGATAAAAGTTGTTTAACAAACGATCATAGTTTCAAATCGGTATTATTGGTTTGTATTACAAGGGGGTATGCACATTAAATGAAACACCGAGAACAAGGAGGGTTGGTCTAAGTTAACGCTCATCACGTACCGCACGTGCATTTGTTTCACTGTTCCAACTACTGCGCTTACCCCCCTTGTAATACAAACCAATATAAGCGATTTGAAACAATGATCGTTTGTTAAACAACTTTTTTCCTAAGTTGAATAAAAATCTAAGATTTAATTTTTAAATTGGCAAGGTAGAATTATGAGGATTCGCAATCTTAATTTCACTGTATTCGATTTACATTTTTGTTTAAAGTGAAATTCACCGGTACGTTTTCACTGCAAACAGACTATTTTTTTTTTTTAATAACTAATGTAGACATAATGTACACGATTTCAATCAACGAGCAGCACGCATTTCTAAAACGACGGATATTGTAAGTACATCCTATATGTATTGTAATCATGGTTATGAAGATGAAAACCATGTTATGCTAGTCTGTCCTGAATGTACCTGCATAAGAAAGAAGTTTTATTTCAACAGACCATCTTGGGAAATGTTTATTGCTCCTCTTAATACTGATGATGTCAACATGCTATTTAAACTATCACTATTGTTATACCAACATGTTATTTAAACTATCACTATTGTTATACCAACATGCTATTTAAACTATCACTATTGTTATACCAACATGTTATTTCCGCATCACTATTCTTATACCAACATGTTATTTAAACTATCACTCTTGTTATGTTATTTAAACTATCATTATTGTTATACCAACATGTTACCTCTCGCATGCTATTTAAGCTATTTTGTTATACCAACATGTTATTTAAACTTTCACTAATATATTTACACGTCACTGGCAAAACTATCACTATTGTTATACCAACATGTGTTAAACTACTTATTGGCACCCGTGAGGATCCAGGGTCTTCAGTAACCCATGCGTGTCGTAATCCGCGAGGCGTCTAATGCGTGTCGTAAGAGGGATAACGGGGGTGGTCAGGCTCGCTGACTTGGTTGACACATGTCATCGTATCCCAGTTTCGAATATCGATGCACATGCTGTTGATCACTGGATTGTCTGGCCCAGACTCGATTATTTACAGACCGCCGCCATGTAGCTGGAATATTGCTGAGTGCTACTGTACTATTGGCCTTTAGGCCCCATTTACGAATATACCTGTCTGTCTGTCTGATCATATGACTCTCTATTCGTAAAATCCTTCTCACTTAAACAGACCGCCTCCGTGGTGTAGTGGTTAGAGCGTCCGCCCGGAGAGCGGAAGGTCGCGGGTTCATACCAAAAGACTTTAAAATATGGTACTTGTTGGTCCCTGTCTGGCGCTCGGCATTAATGGGTACAACAAGGACTGGTCGGCTCTGAGTCAGTATAATGTGTCTGAGTGGGGTATTCATGCTTCACTACGGCATGGTATCTCAGTGGGCTAGCACTATAAAACCAGCTTAAGTCTGGGCTAGTACAAGCAGCCGCACATACACATACACACGCATGCACGTCGTCATATGAGCGAAATATTCTCAAGCACGACGTAAAACCCAATTTCACCTCACCTCACCTCTACTTAAACATGTATTTTGTCAATCTGATCTGAATGTAATTCGATGTTATGTACGTTTGATTCCTTGCTTTTATTGGTTATAGCTTCAAGTTCATCGAAATACTTCCGAGTTACATCGAAGTCTGGTGGCTTGCAGGTGTATCTGCGGGCGTCACTGCACACGTATAACAAACCTAACTTGACTATTATAGTCAATGGCGTGGATGGTGAGGGGAACATGACGTCGGTCCAAGTTGAAATACATCTTGAAGGTATACAGATATAGACATATCGATTGGTTAACACTTGATTAGGCATCGTCAACAAGTTTGTTTTCTATTCCAATGAAGTCAGTGTGTTGCGATAGATAGGAGTGTGTAACATTAGATCAGTCTGTATTTGCATGCACGTTGCATGCACATCCGTAGACAAGTATTAGTATATGCGACTATGAGTCATTAAATTAACATGTTTGTTTAGAGGCGGAACTGTGCGCTCACTACACACTGTAATCACCCAGATTAAGTATTTATCTCTACAGGTTAAAGTTACACTGCATACATGTAAAGCGTCTGAAAGTAATCGCTCGTTAGGGATGTTTTGACATTAACGGGGTGATGACGGGCTGCTGTAAAACCCTTAAAACATTGTGGACAACAATTCTGCTGATAACACGAAATAGATAATCGTAAACGCTAATCTAATCTCAGTATTTCGAGATATAGATTGCTTTAACTTTCAAACCATGATGACAGTATATTGTGAGTTTTTCAGGATGATAATGCATCCTATATATGTTCGATACAGTGCCATGGATATGAATAATGCAATAATGCAATACTGTCGGCAACTCATCACCAAAAGGCCTTCCAAAGGAAACGGGGCTTCAGTGATATTTTCCAGACAGTATACAAGTATTATGTATTTTGTCTTGCTACAGGCCCAACAGAAAAAGAAATCAAACTCATCACTGTTCCACAAACTTCATTGTTTAAAAACGGAACTAACGTAGTGATCCGGTGTGAAGCCGACCAATTCGTTGACCCGTCGTTCTCGTGGGCTGTATCCGGCCGGGATGTGACCCTGGGCCTCACCGATCGCTTCCTGGTCAATTACACAAGACAAGGAACCAAGAGCATTGGCGTGTTTGAGTTCAACCCTATACTTCACAGAGATGCCGGTTAGATAACACTCTCCTTCTCAATGTTTCGCACCATTTTTGCTACTATAGATGATTTCCTCCTTTTCAGTGTGAGTGAGTCCATAACTTGTAGGGCTGGCTATCGATATAGACCATAGAGATCCATAGTCAATTGATTATCGATAAATATCGGAGAAGTAACTTTTAGCACAATGCCAAAAGGAATCTGAAAGAAATCAGCATAATCCACATCACTTGTGAGTGGTGACATATTTAGATATGGACTACTAATAAGAGTGCTGAATATAAATCAGGAACAGCCCCTAAATAAAATCCTAGCTTTGTGTATTGTCCGAGTAGACTAAAGCTTTATTTCATCACACTAGTTTATGTACGATATTATCGATGACGCAATATTCAACAATCGATAATCATTAGTGTATTTTCCCCATCGACGATATTTCCTATTATGAATTATTTTAACCGACCCAAAAGATGTGATATTGCTGGAATACCTGTATCTTACAGCTTAAAACTGTTCTTATTCACTCAAAGAACACGAGCAAATATCCATTTCAATTTCTCTACTAACTTGGGGGAACCAACTGCACAACTTATCCAGATGAATTGCACAAGGATCATGCATCAAATTGCTGAAAAGCATGTGCAAATATCGCGCATGTGAGTGAGTTTAGTTTTACGCCTCACTCAGCAATATTCCAGCTATATGGCGGCGGTCTGTAAATAATCGAGCATGGATCAGACAATCCAGTGATCAACAACATGAGCATCGATCTGCGCAATTGGGAACCGATGACATGTGTCAACCAAGCCAGCGAGCCTTACCACCCGATCCCGTTAGTCGCCTCTTACGACAAGCATGGGTTACTGAAGGCTCATTCTAACCCGTCACGGGTAATCGTGCATGTGAACAACTGCGTATTGGTGAAAAGTTTTGTTAAGAATTCACCAATTTTCACTGAGTTTCATCATCTATTGAACTCATGACAATAACCTTCTCAACGTGACGAATTTGTTTTACAATACATCAGTTCATGTATAAACAGTACCTTTAAACTGTATGGGTTATTTTACAAAATCTAGTTCAGAACAGTTGACTGAAGTAAGTGGCTACATTTACACTAGTGAGTCTAAACTTTTGATGTGTAGTATATAAAGCTTTGCAACCTATGAGGCTTACACACGAAAAAACTGGCTTGCTACCCGCATGGAAATTAAGGAATTAATCCAGTTAACTTCTTCGTAATACCCTCGATGCAAGAGCGCCCACTTGACATCTAGATTTTACTCGTGGTGACTATTGCCTTATAACGATGATAGCAACTAGAGGGGAGAAACCGTCTTGCGATCATGTACAAATTAAACCTGTGTCAGGATAACCGCACAGGTGCTGCCTTGGTTAACATGAAAGTCATGCATCAATTTGTATTTCTTTGGTGTGGGTTTGTGGACGCTCTTGCCTCTGGAAGATGATTTTTTCTTTGTGTAAAATAGAAAGGAAATGCATAATGATTCCTGATGCATGGGATGCATCTTGATATGCCTTCACACTTTTAAAATTGTTTCCTCAATTCATTAATGATTGTCTATTTTCTTCACTACAATCTGATTGACGTAAATTATCTGCAGGTATGTTCATTTGTATTCTGACCGGAAGTGCGGATCTCCGGGTCAGACACGAGCGGACACTTGGTCTCCGCGTAGTCAGTAAACCCCACGTGGTGGCCAGACCTCCGTCCGTGTATATCCGGGGAGACACAGCGGTCAACCTGACCTGTGTCCAAGATGACCCTCCGGACACAGAGGTTGAGATGAGATGGTACCGGATTATAGATGGGAAGAGGTCCAGGGTATCAGTTAGCAAAGGTGAGTGTGTTGATACTTCTAGACATTATTACTTATAATGCTTGTTATGAATATTAAAAAGTAAAGTAACAAACAATAAAGATTATTCCAATGCCTGATTTATGTTAAAAAAAACCCCAAAACAATTTCAAATTTAATCCAAAAATGTTTTTAGGTTCTTTAAATTTCCTTCCCTTTACGCAAACATTAAATGAATAATTGCATGTTGTGTATTGTGGTGTGGATGAATAACTTAGAATAATTAAAGGGACACTGCGATAAAGAAGTGTTCCCTTATTTGTTTCCCTCAGTATATCTATATTACCATATGCTTGTTCCACTGAGTTATGACTGTTAACATCGACGCTGTATTTTGCGATCTCTCCAACAAAACCATGCTCAAGTGTAAAAAACATTCCTTTGGAAGAAACAAATAAGGCAGATGAAGATGCTGATATCACTTTCAGTTGCTTCATGGTATTCATAATGGAACTGGGGCTGTGGGTTTTTAGCTTAGTGGTAAAGCGTTCGTTCGTCACGCAAATGACCCGGGTTCGATTCCCCACATGGGTACAATGTGTAAAGCCCATTTCTGATGTCCCCCGCCGTGATATTGCTGCAATATTGCTAAAAGCGGCGTAAAAACATACTCACTCACTCATAATGGAACTCTGATATACATGCCCTGCATGGTCATGTATATATTCATGTTTAGGTATTTTACCTATTGTCCTAGCATCCAAGGTTTACTGTCCAAGGACTGGGGGGTGATGCGAAATACGCGTGTGAAGGCCAGTTTCTATTGCTTCAGGGTATTTATAATGGAACTTGATATAATGCCCTGCATGGCCGAGGATGGTGTGATGCTATACATATACATGCATGTTTGTTTGTTTCACCTACTAGGTCTAGTATCCAGGGAGATTTATACTGTCCAAGGACTGGGAGGTGATGCTGAATACGTTTGTGAGGGCTTCAACATCAAGGGACAGGCTTACAGCAATGTTGTCAAAGTACACCAGCTTACAGAAGGTTCGTGTACCACGTTTGTGTTCTTAGCCATTCGTACTCAATCACCATAGATCACTCAACATTTATGAGCACTGGTTGTCGGGATATTTCGCTTGCATTCTTCACTGCGGTGTAAAACAAGATTCATTCACGGATTTCATTGTATTTCGAATCAAAATTCCAAGGGTCGGTCGAGCGATGAGAAACAGAAACTAAATGCTACCCTATGAGAGTTTGTCGTGTTGATCATCATCAGTCATACCAATGACGACTGTCCATTGTAACCGGTTGTACCCAATCCGATACTTTGTTACATAAAACTCGATCTCCCAGTATGATAATTATTATTTTCTGTTTCTAAAGGTATGAACACGTGTCCTCTGGAAACTGACCAGTCTGGTATTATTTGGCAAGAGACACCAACTGGAGAGACTTCAATGTCAGATTGTCCCAGCAAATTACAAGGTAAAGTACACTTTTTCGAACTAAATTACATACATGTATATCTAACGAAATACTACACTGATTAAACCCTTCTAGGTTCAATCAGTGGAGTAATTCGTTAAATATATGTAATTCAGTAGACATGCATAATATAACGCATGTTTGATTCCCAATTTGGGGAAACTATAGAACATTGAGTTATTGACGTCTCATCATCTAACCAATTTCCTACACAACATTTTAGTTAAACTAATATTAAATGTAAAGGTTTATGCAAATGTAGATACAGTCTTGTTTTCTGAATCTTACCTTCCTTCTTCACTTGCCATTTCAGGTACGTCTTCACGACGTTGCAGTCTCTTCGGCCAGTGGGACAATGCCGACTACGACACGAAATGCCGTCAGATTACGTTAGACAATGCCCTTCAAAATGTAAGCACTTCCCCTTGACTATGTATTTTATTCTGTTGTTGTTGAAAACACTAACAGTGAATGGTACCTAAGGGAGCTGGCGATGGGATACAGTCCAAGGTTCCCCACATTGGTTGAAGTTCTCACTAATCTTGGTGTTATCCTTGTTGTTAGAGGTATTATATCTCCAATGCATTTTGACAAATACCCATGACACTGTCACTACCATAGGTCGGTTCTCAGACCTATTCTAACTCGAGGCCAATAGTCATCCAATCTAATTAAGTCACAAGAGCCAGTGAATGTATGTGATTAATTAGCGATAGGCACGAATTAGGTAGCACGAATGGGTCTAGTGTATTTTTGCACACGTAATTTAGCATATAACACTCTGCGTAAACTATAGGAGGCATAATGCCATGCTAATGTTGATGCGCCCATAAAATCAACGATCGTTCTCTTCAGGCGATACAAGCAAAAGACGGGGTGTTAGAAGGTTCCCTTAGCGACATCCTGAACGATCTAGAAACTGCTAAAGACACAGAACTACTGACGTCCAACGACATTGGTGTCATCTTAGAAGTACTGGAGATTATTGCAGAGGGATATATTCAAGGAGAAGGGGAGCGGAGTGTGGAACCAGATGACATAAAGGTACGATACAGTGAGTGAGTGAGTTAAGATTTTAAGGCACATCGGCAGTGTTTCAGCCACATCGTGACTATATCAAGTTATATATCAATAATAATTACAGGTAAAGGATAAAGACATGTCAACGAAGGACAGTAAAACAACTAGACTATCACAGATATAAATTTTAAAACTAGTAATTAAATTTAAAACATTTTAACCATACATGACAAGACAATATAAAAAACAGGTTAGATCGCCAAAAACTGAAGGTAGATCACGATACAGAGCCCTTTTGAGGGGAAGGGGGAGATCACACATTGTACAAACTGACTAACAAAACACCAGTTTATCATGAAAGTAAACGTCGTGTGCTCGATGGCTGCCTTGTTTCAACTACCAGCTAGAACAGCACTGAACTGAACTGAACTTTATGTATTACTCAGGCCGCAGACAGCGGCATATAAGGTTACATTTCTGTTACAAACATATGCATAAAGTATATATATATATGGTGACATATTTTGGGTCCGAAACCAGGCCTGTGAATGCTTTGAACGATGTTTTGGGTCGTTGCCCTGCTGGAATATCCATAATTTCAATAGAACACGTGAGCAGATGGAAGTAAATGTCCCTCGAGAATATATGTGTACCGCTCACTGTTCATAATCCCTTCAAATACACAGAGGGGCGTTGCCCCTAACACAGATATGCCACCCCACATGTTAAATTTCGGACTGTACTTTGGGCGCTGATACAAAGGTTTTTCAGTTTGTTTGGTCCAGAATTTCAGTGTATTAGGAAACAGCTACACAGAACTTTTATCTGACGAAAACACCTTGTCCCAGTTAAAATTTCTATGCTGTAAGCACCAGTTCAACCTTCGCCCCTTTTGTTCAGGCTTCATGATCGGTGATGGAATTCCTCGACTTTTCAGCCAACCCATTGCATGCAGCTCAGTTCTAATACTCTAAAATCAACTTCCTCTTCTCTAAATCATCCATACTGAGGATCACTGAAATTGTCGTCTGCTAGCAAGTAACCAAAGGGGGATAACTGTTCACAAACTAATGAAAAAGGATTAACGAAGTTGTCTCTCTTGAATGAAACCAAGCATTTGATAGCTGGTCAAGGTTGTTTATACTAGAAACCCAATTAAACATATTCCTAAAATTCTCAATAACTTCTGGTCATACTATATCTACACAGACCCGTGAAGATCCGGGTAAGAATTGATCTTCAGTAACCCATGCTTGTCGTAAGAGGCGACTAACGGGATCAGGTGGTGAGGCTCGCTGCCTTGGTTGACACATGTCATCATATCCCAATTGCATAGATCGATGCTCATGCTGTCGGTCACTGAATTGTCTGGTCCAGACTCGATTATTGACAGACCATACAGCTGGAATATTGCTGGATGTTGCGTTAAACAACCATCCAACCTGACTACATGTTTACATATTTACAGAAAATGGCCACAGTTGTAGATACTGCCTTGAGCGCTGGTTTAGAGAAGTGGAAACAGGTCAATGAAGAGGTAATTAAATAGTATTTCAGAAAGTGCCAATAACGAATTAGTGAGTTGCAGTTACGCCGCCGCATGGTGCATGTACAAGATGCATTTGAAATTGAATATGTATTAGATATAGTCTTAAAATCCCGGGGACAGGTCCCTATTTCAGGGTCACATCAGGTATAGGTTGATTGTCAAGCATGTATGTCGATAGTTAGATCATTGGTTAATAAGATGTGTAGGTGAACAGCCCAAAATATGTGTTACATGTCATAAAATCCCATAATATGTGCTACATATAATATCCCATAATAAGTGCTACATATCATAAAATCCCATAACATTTGTTACATATAATTAAATCCCATAATATGTGCTACATATAATAAAATCCCATAATATGTCTACATATCATAAAATCCCATAATATGTGCTACATATAATATCCCATAATAAGTGCTACATATCATAAAATCCCATAACATGTGCTACATATCATTAAATCCCATAATATGTGCTACATATAATAAAATCCCTTAATATGTGCTACATATCATAAAATCCCATAAAATGTGTTACATATCATAAAATCCCTTAATATGTGCTACATATAATAAAATCCCATTATATGTGCTACATATCATAAAATCCCAAAATATGTGCTACATAATCATAAAATCCCATAACATGTGCAACATATAATAAAATCCCATACTATGTGCTACATATCAGAAAATCCCATAATATGTGTTACATATCATAAAATCCCATAGTATGTGCTCCATATCAGAATATCCCAAGATATGTGCTACATATCAGAAAATCCAATACTATGTGCTACATATCATAAAATCCCATAATATCTGCTACATATCGTAAAATCCCAAAATACGTGTTACATGTCATAAAATCCCCCAATATGTGCTACATATCATAAAATCCCATAAAATGTGCTACATATAAGAAAATCCCATAATATGTGCTACATATAATAAAATGCCAAAATATGTGCTACATTATAATAAAATGCCATAACATGTGCTACATATCATAAAATACCACTATATGTGCTACATATCATAAAATCCCATTATATGTGTTATATATCATAAAATCCCATATGTGCTACATATCATAAAATCCCATAATATGTGCTACATATCATAAAATCCCATAATATGTGCTACATATCATAAAATCCCATAATATGTGCTACATATCATAAAATCCCATAATATGTGCTACATAATCATAAAATCCCATAACATGTGCTACATATCATAAAATCCCATAGTATGTGCTCCATATCAGAAAATCCCAAGATATGTGTTGCATATCAGAAAATCCCATAATATGTGCTACATATCATAAAATCCCATAATATGCGCTACATATCATAAAATACCATAATATCTGCTACATATCGTTAAATCCCAAAATACGTGTTACATGTCATAAAATCCCCCAGTATGTGCTACATATCATAAAATCCCATAATATGTGCTACATATCATAAAATCCCTTAATATGTGTTACATATCCCCAAATCCCATAATATGTGTTACATATAATAAAATCCCATAATATGTGCTACATATCATAAAATGTGTAGTGTCAAGTGGTCTCTGATGATCGAAACTAGGACGATTTGGGGTTGTCAATTGACATTTGAATATACTGTCAATGTAGGGTGCGCGAAGGTTTCGGTGATCGGAGAACCTTTACAAAATAAGTCGTTATACATATCTGTTTGATCTGTTTGAATGTGCCCTGACATCGTATTGATCAATAGTTTGTGTGGACCAAACACGGTTGTTATTGCGATGTAGTATCGTAATAGGTTTCAAGAGTGATTTTATATATTTTAAAAAAATGAAGCCTGTTTATTACTTGCAAGACTAACTTGATATCGACATTTAATATACCTGGCCCACAGACGAAACGTGGCCCCAAGTCCTTGCTGTGGTCAGTTGACACTATACTGAAGCTCGCCATCCAGAGGGCAGCGACCCAGGAGTCATCAGAGCTGTCCTTCAACATCACCATCAGCACAGACAACATATGTGAGTTGTTTACAACGGAGCTGGGATTCTTAGATCAGTGTGTCAATTGAAAAGAATATTGTAATACTAGAAAACATTGTACAAATTATCAGTGAATTATTAGCTGAAGACAAGCGATCAAGATGCATAGGCAGCCAGATATCACCTCAGAGTTTACCAAATTAACGCTCCACAGAGAGAGTAACCTTGGCTTGGTTAGCTGCCAACACCTAAAACATGTCTATTAAGACTAGTACGATCAGATGAATACGCCAAATATAAACATCAGCTGGAATGAACAAGGAAATTCTGAACTTCTAGAACATGCAGATACGTGACCTAATAGAAACTTGACCTAAACGAGTCAATCCCAGTTTAACAGACTACCAATGGATTTCTGGAAATGAGGAATATAAAATATAACACCTTAGATGATATGTTTATCTCAGTTTCACCAGAAATACGTCAGTACAAGATCAAAATCGTCCTTTCTTACTTACAAGTGAAACCACCCAGTAACAGTACGACCCGTAGCGGTCTGGCAATAGCAGGAGATGGCGCCACGTTCCACCCGGACGTCAGAGAAAGCAACCAGCGCTATTTAGCATGGACCCCTAAATTCCCCAGGGAATAACCAGAATTGTGTTGGTTTTTTTCACTTTTTGATATGCGGGGCAGCCAATAGGCACAGGATTCCATCGTCTGGAAGGCCTCGGTTTCCTACAAGGCTACTCTCTGTTGTGTATTATCTATTATTTGTATTGTAGGTTTATCTCGACGGAATCGTTTTGTTCTCATTTTAGTCCTGAATTAGGCCTTTTTTAATTTTTGTTTATCACTTTATTTCTTTTTGATGGGTACATAATTGTTGCGTTTGTGGTACATGTAAATATACAAAGTATGGACAGGAGTCAGGCGCGTAGCAAGTAAATCTTTTCGTGTAAGCCCGATAGGTTGCAAAGCTTTTAAAGTTAGATAGCATTGAGGGCAACAATCATATGTAAGCCCTGGCTTTTTTTTATAATGGTAGCTACGCCCCTGTGGGTGGTAGATAATCCGTAGGGTGATACAAGGCTAGAAGAATACATTAAGCCTTCATCAGACACTAAAAATTTATACGATGGAGAATAAAATGCAATAAAACAGTTTAATTGTCACAGACGTTGTATAAATATCATCAGTTTATACTTTTCCCTGCATTGTTATTCCCCACAGATCTGCATATCGGAAGTGTACTTGGTGAGACGGTTAATTTCCCACAAAGAGAGGTCAACAGCCTGTCCTGGGTGACCGAGACACGCACCGGAGCCAGGATGATGCAGGAATCATTCCAAGCGATGCAACGTAGGTGTACAGCGTGACGTCAGTTCCACGTCACGTGTACTTATGGCAATATGGCGGACACTTATTCCACAATTTAAGCAGATAAATGTGTTTCGGCGATGCTCATGCTCATGCTGTTGATCACTGGATTGTTTGGCCCAGACTCGTTTATTTACAGACCGCCGCCATACAGCTGGAATATTTCTGAGTGTGGTGTTAAAGAACAAAGAAAAAAAGTAATATATTATATATACCAACCTACCGTGGGAATGTATTTTCTTCCCTTTGAAGGAATATCTTACATGCAACCTTCTTTGATTAACCATCCCAACGTTTCATTATTCTGTTTTAAGTGTCTAGGACTATAGACATGCTATAGGTATATGAACAGTCATATTTTTGTAAAACAAAACCTCATTGATTTGTAGAAGATCGAACCTGGTACAGTGGTATGGTCTATCGGTCTCTCAGTGCCTTGATGCAGGAACAGGTGCTGGAGAATGTCACCATGGAAGGCAAGTCACTCGTCAGGTAAACAAGTGTCTCATCAAAACATTTGCAGATCAAATACTTTGTCCGAAATTGTTAAAAGAGTGGCCTTCAACAGTTGTTTTAGCAACTAAATAGTCGAGGTTGGGAATTAAGAGGGTGTCTTTCCACAGTTGTTGTAGCCAAAGACGCAACTAAGTAGTCGAGTCTGGGAAATTAAGAGGGTGTCATTCCACAGTTGATTTTGCCAAAAAGACGCAACTAAATTGTAGCAGCTTCAAACGTAGAGGATATCCTTCCTTAACTGTTGTAGCCAAAGACGCAACTAAATAGCGGATGTTCTATAGTATGACCAGAAATTATTGAGAGTTTTAGAAATATGTTTAATTGGATTTCTAGTATAAACAACCTTGACCAGCTATCAAGTGCTTGGTTTCATTCAAGAGAGACAACTCCGTTACTCCCTTTTCATTAGTTTGTGAAGAGTTATCCCCCTTTGTTTACTTGCTAGCAGACGACATTTTCAGTGAACCTCAGTGTGGATGATTTAGAGAAGAGGAAGTTGATTTTAAAGTATTATAACAAGGACATCAGATCAGCTAGAGTGATTTCAAGTAGAACAGGCATCCTTTTGTCCACTGTTTATCGTGTTTTGAAAAATATTGTAAATGGATATGGCATTGAGCACCAGGGAGGCGAAGGTAGGCCCAGAAAATTAACTGTCGGTGACAGGAGGCGGCTTGGTATTCTTGTTTCTAAAAACAAACGAAGGAGCTTAGAAAACGTAAGGCTGGATATGATTAGAGGAACTGTGTCTGTCTGTAAGGAGACAATTAGAACTGAGCTGCATGCAATGGGTTGGCAGAAAAGTCGAGGAATTCCATCACCGATCATGAAACCTGAACAAAAAGAGCGAAGGTTGAACTGGTGCTTACAACATAGAAATATTAACTGGTACAATGTGATTTTCTCAGATGAAAGTTCTGTGTAGCTGTTTCCTAATACATTGAAATTCTGGACCAAACAAACTGAAAAACCTTTGTATCAGCGCCCAAAGTACAGTCCGAAATTTAACGTGTGGGGTGGCATATCTGTGTTAGGGGCAACGCCCCTCTGTGTATTTGAAGGGAATATGAACAGTGAGCGGTACACAGACATTCTCGAGGGACATTTACTTCCATCTGCTCACATGTTCTATTGAAATTATGGATATTCCAGCAGGGCAACGACCCAAAACATCGTTCAAAGCATTCACAGGCCTGGTTTCGGACCCAAAATATGACATTATTAGATTGGCCAAGCTATAGCCCTGACCTAAATACAATAGAAAATGTTTGGGGACTTAGAAAGGAAGGTGTCAATAAGAAAAATCTGACAAATATTGCTGAAATGAAAGAAGAGGTGGTCCGATATTGGGACAGCATGGACCACGACTTTCTAACTTCTTTGATCAGTAGTATGCCCCGCCGCATTGAAGCCCTGCATTGCTGCCCATGGTGACTTGCCAAAATACTAACTGTTCACCTGCCTTTGAATCTGGAGTTATGTTCTGCTAATATTCACATTAATACGTGAGTAATGAGTGAAAACAATTTGCAATCTTTAAATTCTCAATAATTTCTAGTTGTACTGTATGTTACACGTCCACAACAGGAATATTTAGACTGAGTGATTGAGTCTCTCGGTACTCCACTGATATCACGGTGTGTCTGTGTGTCTGGGAGAAAAGCCCGAAGTTATCCATGTTTCATATGTTTACCACTTTTGTGACATTTATAGCCACAAGCTTTTGACAGTGGGATCGTCCATGCCCCTTTAAGTAATGCAGTTTTACGTAACCTTTCAAATAATTAGAAATTACATGTGTGAGCGAGTCAGTGAGTGTGTATTGTGCTTTTAGCATGTGTATAATCGCATCACGGTCCATGCTTTCAACCATTTTGGGATCGAGCCCGGTCTTCTTGCGTGACGACAAGCCTTGAATGTTTTACCTGGTGCAAATGGTCACATGTCCAACTCAATACAAATGTATATTCGAGATAAAGAAGCTTGCAGTCTGTGATCTCTTGTCTTGCTCATACCTGTTTTCCACGAATACAGGACTCGACGGCAAGAAAAAACATCGTCCGAAATTTATCAAATGATAATTAATGAGTGAGTATGCTTATACACCGCATGTAGGAATATTCCAGTGGTGGGGGGACTCCAGAAATAAGCCTCACACATTGTACTCAGGTGGTGAATCGAACCCGGTTCTTCGGCGAGACGAGAGAACACTTTAACCACTAGGCTACCCCACCTCCTTAGATTAATGGGTCTTTGATGGCTTGATCAGTAGAATGAATGAGCTACTCCATCACCCATGTTTCAGTGAAGACATGGCGGTGATGTCCGAGACGGAGAGTCAGCATCCCCCCATGGGTGACGTGGTCTCCAGGGTGATGTCCTTCAACGTGTACCCCCAGCCGGACAGCTTCACCCCACCGTTGTATCTCTCAATGGAAGTCAGCGTAAGTGGCTGACTATACCACAATATGTTACTGTAGAAATATCTTACTAAATTAAATTAAGGCCCTTGCAATACTCCTTTCGTTTTCTAGAGAGGTTAACTTTGATGAATTTCCGATTGTCTCGAAGTAAAAGCTGCATTTTCCTTCTTAAATACACCACTTTGCGGTTGTGTCGAATCTCAACGTCTTCAAGTAGTTCCGTCCTTTCAACTTCGTCACAGGGTGTTTGTAATGTCTCCCTATGTAATTATTTAATGTAGAATTTTGAACTTGCTCGTCAAAATTTGTTCCAGATTGGCAGCTTTCGTTACGATCATATTCTTATGCAATTGGCCCGAACATTTAATAAAGCTCACACCATCATTTTGTCTACGTTTGCATGTTTAAGGCTTATATGGGTATAAAGTGTTTTGTCATGCTCCCGTACGTCCTTGTATGGTGATATCACACTGGCACATCTTTCAATCAGTCTTGGTATTGGTTGGATTTTACGCCGCTTTTAGCAATATTCCAGCAATATCACAGCAGGGGACACCAGAAATGGGCGTCACACATTGTACCTATATGGGGAATCGAACCTGGGCCTTCAGCGAACGAGCGAACGCTTTATCCACTTGACTACCCCATCACTCCTGGGTATGGCTGACATGAATGTCTACCTTCTTTTCTTTTCAGAGAATGAACTCTCGTCCAGTCTGCTCCTTCCTCGACTATAGCCAGTCGTAAGTGTCATATTTCTTTACGTTTTGTTTGTTTTTCTATGACAATTATGTGTTCTCAATGAAGCATTAATATATTGTCCTGTTCGTATCCTAGGCAACGGTACTCCCGTTCTGGGGTCTGGGCCACAAAGGGATGCTATGAGATGTCACGTGATGATGACGTCGTCGTGTGCAGCTGTAACCACACCACTAACTTTGCTATCCTCATGAGTCCCGTGGATGCAGAGGTAATTAACTTTATTTGGTGGTCACGAGTGAGTGGGTGAGTGAGCGAGCGGTTCCGCTTGACCAGTATTTTACTCATTTTGCGTTGTATTGACAAACCCAGAAACAATATCTAGGAGAAGTGGGCCTTCAACATACAATTATAGTGTTCTAGGGCACCTCAACAAAGCAAATTGCTGGACCAAGGTTCACTCAGTGATGCTTAAGTCTGATTGGTTAAATACATCCGTCTTGCATTAATACAACGACTACAGGTGGGTAGCTGAACAACACACGCGGAATAATGATGTAGATTTACGGTGCTAAAGTACCAGCAGTATTTCCAAGGTAGAGAACCACGCAATAAACTGTAGTCATCATCAGCAGCTGTAAAAGAAACACATACCAAACTGCAATCATCATAATCATCATCATCATCACCAGTTAAGGAAACACATACCAAACTGCACCCATCATCATCATCATCATCATCATCACCAGTTAAGGAAACACATACCAAACTGCAGTCATCACCATCATCATCATCATTGCCAGTTAAGGAAACACATACCAAACTGCAGTCATCATCATCATCATCATCATCACCAGTTAAGGAAACACATACCAAACTGCAGTCATCATCATCATTGCCAGTTAAGGAAACACATACCAAACTGCAGTCATCATCATCATCATCATCATCATTGCCAGTTAAGGAAACACATACCAAACTGTAGTCATCATCATCATCATCATCACCAGTTAAGGAAACACATACCAAACTGCAGTCATCATCATCATTGCCAGTTAAGGAAACACATACCAAACTGCAGTCATCATCATCATCATCATCATCACCAGTTAAGGAAACACATACCAAACTGCAGTCATCATCATCATTGCCAGTTAAGGAAACACATACCAAACTGCAGTCATCATCATCATCATCATCATCATCACCAGTTAAGGAAACACATACCAAACTGCAGTCATCATCATCATCACCAGTTAAGGAAACACATACCAAACTGCAGTCATCATCATCATCATCATCACCAGTTAAGGAAACACATACCAAACTGTAGTCATCATCATCATTATCATCACCAGTTAAGGAAACACATACTAAACTGTAGTCATCATCATCATCATCATCACCAGTTAAGGAAACACATACCAAACTGCACTCATCATCATCATCATCATCATTGCCAGTTAAGGAAACACATACCAAACTGCAGTCATCATCATCATCATCATCACCAGTTAAGGAAACACATACCAAACTGCAGTCATCATCATCATCACCAGTTAAGGAAACACATACCAAACTGCAGTCATCATCATCATCATCATCACCAGTTAAGGAAACACATACCAAACTGTAGTCATCATCATCATCATCATCACCAGTTAAGGAAACACATACCAAACTGCACTCATCATCATCATCATTGCCAGTTAAGGAAACACATACCAAACTGCAGTCACCATCATCATCATCATCATTGCCAGTTAAGGAAACACATACCAAACTGCAGTCACCATCATCATCATTTCTGTTCTCATTATTATTATTATCATTATTATTATTACTCCATCTTATAGTTCAACTGAACCATCACTCCATCCCAGTTGATCCCGGGTATTGTGTGTACCCTCTTACATGACCCTATACACCATGGACCGTGCAGCCAGTTATTATTATTACCATTATTATTGCAGATCGGAGAGCACAGCTACGTGCTGGAGTTAATATCTATAGTCGGGTGTTGTATATCCCTCTTCTTCCTGCTGCTCACAATCATCCTCTACAGCATGGTCTGGAGGTAGGTCAATACAGTATAAACTACACACTGAATTACCGTATATCTCCGATTTAGAATCCCGTCCTTATCGTGTCTTGAATGGGACTCCTTTTGTCCCAGCTCGTCAGTCGTCGCCACGTAAAGTCAAAGATGGCTGCCAATTACACCTCCAAATGTCCTAATATTGGGGGTGAGTGAGTGAGTATGTCGCTTTTAGCAATATTCCAGCAATATCACGGCGGAGGACACCAGAAATGAGCTTCACACATTGTACCCATGTGGAGAATCGAACCCGGGTCTTCGGCGTGACGAGCGGACGGTTTAACCACAAGGCTACCCCACTGCTGCCATGACATTGCTGGAATAGTGCTAAACGCGTCGTAAAGCTCAACTCACTCACTCACTTAACGCCATCAGATATCTTCTCTTAGTGTATATACACATATGTGAAAACATAACGAAACAGGGGATCGGAAGTCCATACTTTGGAACTTAAATGATAGTGCTATGTCATGGTTTCCTGACCTACAGTCGTTTAATTTCATCGAGCCGTGACATAATTGGAATGTTGTTTATTGTGGCGTAAAAACAACCGTTACATTTACTGTTAATACCATATGTTTACATAGGTACATGGTTAAGACTCAAGTGTCTCGGATCAAGTCAATACTGCTGATGCACCTGTGTGCCACTCTCATCATCAGTTACACGCTGTTCCTGGCTGGGGCCAATTACACAGACAACAAGGTATGTATACCAAGAAAGTAAGGTACTTTGTGGATAACAACTTCTTTATTATATATGATGTGACGTTTCGGTATAGATTCTTATACCGTTGTCAAGCAAGACAACGTTGCCAATCAGATCAAGGTATGTCTTGCTTTAGATTAAGGTATGTACCTTTAACAAGTCAATATACGTCCGACCTATTCGAAGTTCGAAAAATCGATTTTTATCAACCTGATTGAACTGTTGATGTAATTATCTGTATCTAAGGGCGACTGTACATCTAAAGAATGTAGATGAGGTGAAATGGGGTGAAACGAAAGTGTTCAAGATCAGTGCACTTTATAGCGAAGTGCACGCATGAGGGATGCTTCATTGTTTGTTGTTTAATGCCGCACTCAGCAACATTCCATTATGGCGGCGGTCTGTTAATAATCGAGTCTGGACCAGACAATTCCGTGATCAACCCGATCCCGTTAGTCGCCACTTACGACAAGCATGGGTTGCTAGAGACCTATTCTAACCCGGATCGGTTCAGGGTAATAACGCCGACCTTTCGACCAATCTTCACGGTTGAGAGGACAAAAAATATCGGCTCCTGAGACTAGTTTCATTTTGCCAATTAATGAAGGATTACGAGGACCACCTGAAGAAATCTTATGGATAACCACTTCTTGATTTATTTTTACAGCGTTTCTGGGCAAGGTTCTTGCCCTTCTTCATCCACCTGAAGAAGGGCGAAAAAAGAAACGTTGTGAAAAATAAATCAAGAAGTGGTTATCCATAAGATTTGTCTTGTATTATGTTTTTAATCTTTATTTCCATACTTGAAGCACTCATCAACAAACTCATTGGACAGATTTTAACGTTTTTTTTACAATGATTCACATTAGTAAATACATGACATTTTTAACAAATACATCGCATATCCGATGCGTTTTCATGATACATATAGCACACATTTTTTCAGAGATTGATCCACAGATTTTAACCCAAATGCAACAGGTGGAATGCTGAATCAGCAAACTGTCTTACGGACAGTGTTCCTTGTCTGAGCTGGTGACGGATGTCATCCAGTCGTCGCTGGATTCTTCAGCTGGATTCTTCCTGTATTTCTTCTTGTTGGACGGACGCTTCTGGTCAGCAGCGTACTGGACCAGCTTGTTTTCCGTGTTCGTCTGTTCTCGTGACAGGAACGGCACGATCTCGAAGATATTTGGGTGAGCCTTGGCAACGTATCTCTTCAGACGTGAATGCCACCCTTCCAGGTGGTTGTTGGTTCTTGGCCCATCTGAGTTGTGGTGGTTCCACTGCGTTCCACTGCGAAATGTTCACCTAGTGCGACGAGTTCACCTGATCAAAACATCTAGAGTAGATTATTCGCAACCCAAATTACGCCTAATCAGAACCTAACCTTCAAAGGAAACCGCAGGTCGGCGTCCTGAGACTAGTGGAAAATCGAAAGGTCGGCGTCCAGAGACGACACCCCCGGATCTTCACGGGTATGTGGCTAATTGTACTAGTCCCGTTCCAGTTCAGCCATCGAAGAGAAATGACACAAAAGAAAACAAGCACTTTCATCACCATGGTTAATTCACTCAGAGTTCTTTCGGATGCCTCGACAACAGTGATCTTAAAAAGGATAGGTGGTAAATAAGGCACAGCATCTTTAGCAAGAAAATTCATATCCGCCCAAAGTAACCAGAAAGAAGACAGGTTATGGAATGCAAGATATAACACATGTTATGTTTGAGTTAACGCTTTCTCAGTTGAACAAGATAAATGCTATTTGCGATACACGACCCTAATAGAATATAGATGGTACATAACCATGAACAAGATCATATCTGCATTACATAATGTGATACAGGATTGGTGATATTAACGGTGAACAATCTCAGAAGAATATATAGGTACTATCGTCGGTACAATCTCTCAGACGGGACCAATAATGTCATTTTACCAATAATGGATCACAAACAAACAGTGTTGATGACAAAATGTCTATTATAATATAATGTATGAAAACACGAATTTGTAAGTATTCATGCTAGTGATTCCCGGATATTTGGAAGCATTCTGACAGTATTTCGTCATTTCTTGAATATACGCTCGTGAACGTCTGAACGTCAAAATGTGCCGTTCACGCTTACGAACGCCATTTCAGGTATGACCGGCCTCTGGTGAGGTCGACGACCGTATAACGAGTAGGGTAGCAGAAAATGGTTGTGATGATTATAACACCGTACAATCTGTTCCAGGACGTGTGTACTGCAGTGGCAGCTCTACTCCATTACTTCTTTCTCGTGGTGTTCTGTGTGATGCTGGCGCAGGGGATACAACTCTTCATCTCCATCGTCATCGTCATCAACTTCACCTCCTACCTCAAGGCCCTCCTCGTCACCATTTGGGGTGAGCTTAAAATAACAACACCGACATCACCTGTATCCATCCTCGGTTCGGTGGTGGGGGGAGAGTTACGGTGGCTATAGTCCGTTTGACTTCATTTTGGACCGATGAATTGCTTACTAACACAAAATCTAATAATTGCAACATGACCAAATTTTGCACAGTCACATGAAATCAACAGACCAACTCTGGTGATTTGTCTCACAATTTTGGACACCCGAATAAAAAAGTTGTTTAACAAACGATCATTATTTTGTTGTTACTGTTCGCTATTTCTAACGAGGGATGACCAATTGCTGGTAGAACAGCCAGGTAATCGACAAGGGTGTGCAGTGCAATTTCAATTTCACACGTACAATTCGCACACCTGGCTGTTCTACTAGCAAGTGGTTCTCCCTCGTATGAAATACCAAAAAGTGACAACAAAATAATGATCGTTTGTTAAACAACTTTTTTTATTCGGGTGTCGAAAATTATGAGACAAATCAACAGGGTTGGCACCAAAGAAGGCTCATGGGTTTGAATAAAAGTTCGCCCCGATCTTGTTACTAAGTTCGGCAGTGTCGTTATAAAGTTTGTGAGGCCTGCATCACTTCACTTTTCCCGCCACATCCACGGCACACCTTGATGAAACTTCTGAAAAAGATACGGAAACATTGAAAGTAAAATTTCACAAGCAAGATTATCTTCGTTTAAAAATGTTCTCAAGTGTTTAACGGTCAAATATCTTTCTATGACAGTTTGCAGCTATGTATGTCACTTAAATGGCGATACAGTTTGTCATTTAGTGAAATATATTGTGTCTCAGTCCTTTCCCGGAATTAAAAAACATCTGAAATGAAGCTTTTCATCAACTGAATCTCATCACGAACAGCTGCATAATTGCTGATTTGGCGTAAAGGAATATCGTAAAAATGCATTTTCAAATATAAGGATCAAGTAACTGGTTCTTTAACTGACATTAAAAAAGAAATTTGCGTTAATGACTGTGCGTGTGTTCATTAGATTAGAAAGCCCTTGGTGAGGTTTGTACTAATAACATAATGTGATGTCTGGAAGGTAAAATAATAGACATTGAAACTTACTATCTTATTTTTTTAGTCTTCACGATGTGGAAATAACGTAAAGAACAGTATGAGGACACTTAATTACGTATTGATGTTTAAGTACGGGTACTTAGTGCTGCGTACGGCAATCATGATGCCATGCATCATCTCTGTTGTGAGATATTGAACAGAATAGTCGGTTTTGTTGGAGGCTCTTGTTGACGGGTTGTGAGTAAATAAGGGGGAAGGGCACTACACAGAGGCAGTGCACCGAAATCGAGTACATTGTGAGGCTTGTTGAACAGAAAGCACTTACATCACAGAAGAATATGCAGTCCATTTACACTACCAGGAAATGTGATGGAAGCTTGTAAGAGGGACGGTGAAAACGTTCATAGATCTCTGTATTTTTATTGGTAGCAACTGTTATTGTTTATTATTGTCACCCTGTGCTTCGATGCACTTGGTCCGTTTGTCGTTAGGGTTTATTTTGCCCTGGAAATAGAGGTCAACTGACTGGTCTCTGAGAAGCCTCTGTGGCTATCTTAGGTCATCATCGATTCTTGTTCCAGCGTGATTGTAAATCAGATGCCAGTTCTGATCTCAGACAGACAGACAGACAGACAGACAGACAGACAGACAGTTTATTCAGTAAGGAGGCCACTGGCCCATAATGCATACAGATAATAGTTTTTTTGTATCTTTCACGTGCGCATGTTTTAAGAAGGTATACGCAGCACTCATTTGTTTCTAGAATTTACAATATCGTTAACATGGTACAAAAACAAGCCGATGTTGTACATAACATCATAACTTTCATTTTGAAACAGATTTATCATAGTGTGTACAGTGTAGGGTTCTTGTATATATCTAGCAATGTATTTGACTCTTAAATCTTTTAACAACCACACACAAATATGACATGACATTCATTTTCAATATAATCCAGACCTTTTGATTTGCAGTACATACAAAGTCTTTCTCTTAGTTCAATATTGCCATATCTTCCAGTTTCTACTGCTATCTTAAAGTTGCTACATCTAAATCTTGATAAAGACATCCTTAGATACATTGGAATGTGTTCTGATCTCAAGAGAGGATGGATGTGCAAGTCAACGCTTATGTACTAGTGCATTGTCATGGAGAATCGGAACTCCAGCTGTCAGCTTTCCTACTCTGTTTACCTCTGCGACGTTAATTGTTTTCATCGACTCAGCATAACAGGTTCCCGTGATTGTAGGGTTTTGGCGGTGTCTAGTCCAGAAGTAATTTCCCTTGAATCCTCAAATATCGTAGCCAGTTCGAAGCGTCTTTGGTGTAGTGAGTGAGATTTTGTTTTACGCCGCAGTCAGCAATATGCCAGCTCTATGGCAGCGGTCTGTAAATAATCAAGATGGGCCAGACAATCCAGTGATCAAAAGTAATTGGGATACGATGATAATGGTCAATCAAGTCAGAGAGCCTGACCACCTGATCCCGTTAGTCGCACTTACGACTAACTGGGTGACTAAAGATCAATTCTAACCCGGATCTTGACGGGTCCTTTGGTGAAGGGAAATGTCTGTGGTTCTACTACATTAACTCCTGTTAGGTGTCCGGTGCCACGTGACGAAAAAAGGTTTCATTCTTGTACTCATTTGGCCGAAACCTTGGACATGTGTTAATGTTCTTGGATTATTGCACAAAGACTTCCATGATAAATAGCACCCTTTTAAGCAACCTCGACCAAATTCAGTCAACGACCATTCGTAATTAATGCCTGGATATCTATCATATCTCCTGTGATAACATTAGTAGGTCTTCTTGATGGTGCTATTTTCTAGAGCGCTTGAACCTACCTGCAATTTTGCCTAGATGGAATATTGATGTCATCTTCCCCACACTCATTACTCATTATGTATTCGCTGGCTTCAGCACCTTCTCTGGCGTGAAACTTATTACTGCACAGCGTTCAGGTTTCGGATGTTCCATGATCTTAGTATGGTAGCATTGTTACACACTCCACTAAGCGAACATTAATAATGAACAAGCAATGATATCTTTACAAGAATTTATCTATAGCTTCGCTGAGCAATGAGAACGCTCGATGAACCTTTTGTTTGAACCTCTCCGAGTGTAGTCGTCATGTTTTGTCTAATAGATCGAATTTACTTCCCCGTGTCTGTGCGACCATGGTGAGGAAGGAATATCTCAGAAAAGAATATCTCAACACAAGAGAATAGTATTGGTTTTCTGTACATCAACAGTCGGTGTTATTGAAGTAGGTGTACAGATCAAGTCTTTGTAGAAAATGTTACCTTTTTGGTTGTTGGTTTACGATCAAACGTTGTACACACATTTTTTCTCGCCCCAAAGTGGGTGTATTTTAAGATCAACGGAGTGCGTTTTAAACGCTTGTAATAGGGATTTATCATTTGGATGGTCTAAATCCCATTTGCGCATTCTCAGATCAAGTCTTTGTCAAAGATTTAAGCAAAACTTCCGCACCCTTTTGGTTGTTGGTTAAACCTGTACAAACTTTGTACACATTTTGGGTGGTTATACCCCACAGTTTGGAATGATGTATTACAGAGTGTCACATTGGGCAATAAGACACAAGACGTAGCGTGATGAATGAGCGACGCTGTTTGCTCAGATATCTATAAAAACAACTGTTGTCAATGGACGGGCACACTTTGTTAAAAAAACGGTCTGAAAATCACATCCCATGGTTGTCGTCCAAAATTATTCGTTATTTAGCACAACTGAAGTCCTGTCCAGTGAATGACCTGAACGTGATCATTTAAACAGTGATATGGGTGTGAAATGGACAGACGCCTCCTTGTAGAAGTGAGTGAGTGAGTTAAGTTTTACGCCGCACTCATCAATATTCCAGCTATATTGCGGCGGTCTGTAAATAATCGAGTCTGGACAAGACAATCCAGTGATCAACAGCATGAGCATCGATCTGCACAATTGGGAATCGATGACATGTGTCAACCAAGTCAGCGAGCCTGACCACCCGATCCCGTTTGTCGCCTCTTACGACAAGCATAGTCGCCTTTTGTGGCAATCCTTGTAGTATATAACAGAACAATAGACCACAAATAACAGAACTTGTTCCCGTCCACTGCCTGAGTCTCACAAGGGTGGTGATGAATGTTGTAGGTGTTTTGTATCACCTCCACGATCTTTCATGAATAAAAAGTAGTTACTGCAGAGTTATTGCACCAGAATGATATAGTGATTGTATATTTTCAGATAAACATTGTATTTCGTCAGTATTATAGAATTACAGTCCCGATGGAGAAGACGGAGGTAACTAAAACGTGATGGTTTCCGATCCAATGTTTCAGTTCCTCCTGCAATCATTGTCGGAATCACTCTTGGTACGGTGAAACTTGACGGGTACCGAGGCCTGAAGTAGTAAGTAAACCATTTTTGTTACGATCTCAAACATATATCATTTCTTTAGTATCAATGTTTCTCTTTAACGTCTCCACTGGCCTCGCTATCCCAAATGGTAATATGAAATAGGGGCGGTGGGGTAGCCTTTTGGATCAAGCGTTCGCTCGCCACACAGAAGACCTGGGTTCGATTCCCCACGTTGGTGCAATGTGCGAAGCCCATTTCTGGTGTCTTCCGCCGTAATATTGATGGAATATTGCTAAAAGCGGTGTAAAACCATACTCACTCACTAATTACAAAAACACCATTTATAATAGCCGGTACTTGTTGTTGCCTTGCCTTGCGTTCGGCGTGTCACTGATAAACTGCGGCATGATATGTAAGTTGCTATGTACGTGAAATAAACCTGAACGCGATTTTGAACTTCAGAACCCTCTGCTCTGTCCACTGTCCGATGGCCAAATCATCTTTCCGAATATTGAATACTGTGTTGTTGGGTGCCTTCGTTCCCAGCGGACTCTTTTGTTGCTCATCCTGTCGAGCACTGACATTTAACTAATTGCATCCTACGGAATATTCAGGGACAAAAATATAACTGTTTCTTTTTCTTTTTGAAGTTGCTGGTTGTCAACTGAGAGGCACATCATTTGGGCATTCGTTGGCCCCGCTCTCTTCATAATTGTGGTAAGTGTAAATAACAATTTGTCATTCTACGCTCCCGTACTCGATTTGTTTTGTTGTGTTTGTTTGTTTGTTTGGTATTTGTTTAACGCAGTATTCCAGCTATATGACTTGTAAGTAATCGAGGATCGATAAAACAAACCAGTAATCGGTATGGTGAACAACAATCCAAGCTGCTGCACGATCAATTCAGGTTACCGAGCATAATGGTCAACTGCAGATAGATATTTATGAGACGCAAAATAAAATAAAAAATTTAACAAACAAAAACGTTTCATTTATTGATCTTTATATGCCATTTTGCAGGTGAACACATTTATTCTGATTCTCTCCGTGAGAAAGATGCTTACAAGGAAAACGTGGGATGAAAACATACTAAGCCAGGGAAAGTAAGTACCAGCTATAGATGACTGTAGGGTCTCTCTACTAATACACATGTACAATTAACGTGATGCATTATACGGAAGTCTGTACATTAACTCGAGTAGAGCATGCAAAGCTTATTACTTTGTTGGTATAGATGTGATGCTTTCAGTTTTGAATGGCTCTGAGAGAAAAAATCGGACAAGTTGAAATTTTCTCAGGGTCTTCGAGTTCGACAAAACCCTCTAGCAAAGGAAATATTTTTACGAATTTGATAATGAGGTATTATGTCCCGAAGAAACACATTGAGTTTACGGGATCGTTATCTTATCATTTTAATGGAGATTGAGCATATACACACGAAGTCCATTAACACAATGTTGATTCTGTGAAGTCGAAAATGAACCGCTAATGCATGTACAGGGAACGTCAGCATGTTAAGAACTAAAGTCCTAATTAGAACATGTTTATGAACAATATGTTTCCACAAACTACTCAGTTCTGCAATGCTGATTTGCTTTACACCAAGTTCTAAAAGGCCATTAAGCCGTCGTCATTGCTCGTAAGACATGTATTTTTTCATGCACTGTTTTACTGAAAAATCTCAAAACATAAATCAGTTGTCAAAATCAGTTGCCATAAGAAATTAACTTAATGCTGTTTTAAAAGGAAATGGCAACATTTTATAATGCGCTAGAACAGACTCCATTTTTTAGTACCATACATTATACACTGATCTGTAATTCAACAAAGCAAATGTACTCATTGACATGCATAAATAAAGTTAATATATGTCCACTGACAAACTTTAACTGTCATCTCAAGAACGTAATATCAGCCAAAAATGTGTATAAAAAAGCCATTAACACAGTAAACCTAACAGTTAAAAGTTGTTGCTCTAAGTTATCCTGTTCTTCCTCAACAGGTACTTGGCCCGAGCTCTTGGCGTAATCCTGCCCATCATTGGTATTACATGGGTATTGGGGGTATTCTCCATCAACAGAGATGTGGTTGTCTTCCAGTACCTATTTGCTATCTGTAACTCCCTCCAGGTAAAGTGCCCCTGTTAATATGTAATGTAAAGTGTAACGACTCATTAATCATGAGCAATTCCAGAGGGAGGGGTCTACAGAATAACGGGATTCGAGGTTAAAAGGACTCATGGCACTTTAAAATTTGGTTTGTATTTTATAAGGCATTGTTTTCCGCTCATTTATGTATATTATGTTTCATGACGGAGTGCAGATTCTGAATATATATTTCATGAAATGCAAACATATACATCTATGCTGTGAGTTTTAAGTTCACGCAATAATCTGAAAAGTCGAAATTTGTTGGAACAATTGTGATAAGATGTATATCATTTCATTTTAATATGGGAACTGGATATCCCCTGTACATGTGTAATAGCTTTGTCATGGTTTCGTGTCTGTTACAGGGCCTTTTCATCTTCATCTTCCACTGTTGTACCACAAACGTGAGTATCACTATTAAACTACTCGTTATAAGTCGTTAGACGTCATGTATCCATGTTTCCATGAGCGAGGGGCAGCTTCCACTCAGTTAATCTTTCACGACTGTTGAAACTCTAGTGTTTGAAGAGTAGTTTGTTTTTGTTAGATGGGAACCGTATTGATCGACACTGAAATCGTTCAGCCCACTTTTATTCGGTGATCAAATTCAGATAAAAAATGCGATAAGACAACAGTAGAACATGAATTATGTCTGTATGAAAAATGTTTGTAAAAGATTTGTCAGTGCTTTTCACTAGGCTCAGCTGTATTTGATCTCGGACAATGAGTTTTAACTAGGGACAGCTGTAGTTGATCTCGGATAGTGAGTTTTAACCAGGGACAGCTATAGTTGATCTCGGATAGTAAGTTTTAACCAGGGACAGCTATAGTTGATCTCGGATAGTGAGTTTTAACCAGGGACAGCTATGTTTGATCTCGGATAGTGAGTTTTAACTAGGGTCAGCTATATTTGATCTCGTATAGTGAGTTTTAACCAGGGACAGCTATGTTTGATCTCGTATAGTGAGTTTTAACCAGGGACAGCTATGTTTGATCTCTTATAGTGAGTTTTAACTAGGGTCAGCTATATTTGATCTCGGATAGTGAGTTTTAGCTAGGGTCAGCTATATTTGATCGTGTATAGTGAGTTTTAACCAGGGACAGCTATATTTGATCTCGGATAGTGAGTTTTAGATAGGGTCAGCTATACTTGATCTCGGATAGTGAGTTTAAACCAGGGACAGCTATATTTTATCTCGGATAGTGAGTCTTAACCAGGGACAGCTATATTTGATTTCGGATAGTGAGTTTTAACTAGGGTCAGCTATATTTGATCTCGTATAGTGAGGTTTAACCAGGGACAGCTATATTTGATCTCGGATAGTGGGTTTTAACCAGGGACAGCTATATTTGATCTCGGATAGTGAGGTTTTACCAGGGTCAGCTCTATTTGATCTCAGATAGTGGGTTTTAACCAGGGACAGCTATATTTGATATCGGATAGTGAGTTTTAACCAGGGTCAGCTATATTTGATCTCGGATAGTGAGTTTTAACTAGGGACAGCTATATTTGATCTTGGATAGTTGGTTTTGACAGTAAGGGTAGCAGAATTAGGCTACGTTGGTCTTATGCTATCACATGATTTACATGCATATGGTGGGGATTCCATTACTTTCACTTTCATTCTCTCACGTTACCATAGTGTTTTGTAGAAAATGTGAAATAAATGGTTCGTGGTCAACATCAAAATTTATAACATACCATATCTGATACAAGGAAAAAGTGATATTTGCATTCCAACGTTACGAACACGGTTTGCGAGTGTTTTAATCATAATATGGAAGGCCGTGTGATTTTCAAACATCGCTGACTGGGTAAATGTTAATTCACACCCTGATGAATGTCTGTTTCGGTGATCAACATTTCGCCATAGGGCTTTCAATTCTACGTGAGTATACACATGTCATCATTGGGTGCCATGTGTGTATTGGGTGCCATGTGTGTATTGGGTGCCATGTGTGTATTGGGTGCCATGTTTGTATTGGAATAAAAAATATGGTCCCGGGTTCCGATGTACAAAGCGACCTCATCGCTAAAGTGATCGTAAATCCCAGACTTTAACTTTGACTTACGATACTCGTATCACTAAGGTTGTTTTGTACAACGGCACCCTGTCATGATATATTTTCCAGGTGACGAATTCGTTTAAAGAGATGAGAAGCCGGTTCAAGCGGAATTCTATGTCAAAGTCTACATTGAGGTCCAAATCTCAGACCACTATAAACAGTTTGACGTCCAAGTCCATCAAGTCCTACAAGTCCAATTATACACTGGTAAATTCCACTGGACTTTTCCATTTCAGACAACTATACTTTCTTTTTCCGAGGCGATGAATTTCTTCAGTAAGTGGTGTGTGTGTGTGTGCGTCCGTGCGTGCATGCGTGTGTGTGTGTGCGTGTGTGTGCGTGCATGCATGTTTATGAGTCTTTGTATTTATGTATCTGTATGTGTATTTATGCGTGTATGTATGTGTCTGTCAGTGTCATTGGGTACAAATTTACTGATTGTTGTTTGGACAAAACATTTGCACAGGCGGGTTCATTTCATTATTTCTATTCACGTGGGTGTTTAACAGTTATCTCATCTATGAACCAACTCCTAATAACCTTACATTATGTCTACACAGAGTCTGACGACAGCAGCTCTCAGGTCTGACAGAGACGGGATAGACAAGCAAGGTAGGACCTTTAATCATGTGGATGACTGACTGACTGACTGAGTTTGGTTTTACACCGCTTTTAGCAATATTCCAGCAACATCACGGCGGGGGACACCAGAAATGGGCTTCACACATTGTACCCATGTGGGGATTCGAACCAGGGTCTTCGGCGTGACGAGCCAACGCTTTAACCACTAGGCTACCCAACCGCCCCAATCATGTGGATGATAGTACATAGCGGCAGGAAACATTATATTCACCTATGACCAGCAGCATGGCTAGAAATGCTTTCTTTCAAGAAAGCAAGATGTCGAACTGGATGTCATGAGTCTTCCTGTCGCAAGTGAACTGTGCGTGTAAATGTTTGTCTTCCAGATTTCCAGTTTGTAAAACATATGAATTGCATAGAGATGCGGAGACATCTCAATATATCTGGAGCTTCACAGCCATTTCGGACACTCACATTTTAAAACACAGCATACGATAGCCGAAAGTTTTATATCGCCTTTGTGGAATATGTTCTGACTTAGTTCCTGCGAAGGACAATGTTCCTGTCCCGCTGACAGCCTACTAATGCCAAACTCATATATCTTAGAGCTTGTTTCATATGGGATCAACTGATCTGTTGCAGAATTTCTGTCAAACGGTATCGCCAATCCAAGACAAGGTAAGGACGAATCGGTGAATTTGACAATAAGAACATTTCGCCCGTTCATGATCTACCTCCAGTCAAATAGAAATGTTTAATACACATTATATAGATAATAAAATATATTGGCGAACAAAAAATGTTAGTTTGTTCTTCGGCGGGGATGTATTTTATCATGAAGAATTTGTTTAATTGAGCTAGCTATTGAGACATGTCAATGATAAATACTCCACTTTGAAATATCAGAAGGAAGAAAACACAAGCAATAGCTAATCAACCGCATTTAATATTTTAGTATTTTAGATGATGTTAAAGTTAGAACGTTATTCCAAATTCCAAGACAGATATTGGACAGGGATGTTTCGCACAAGGTTAATAAGTGTAAACTAAGGATAATTCTTCTCTCAGGATTCCAATTTGCACGAACTATAGCTCTGCCCAGCGTGTTCGACCAGAGCCTGGAGACCCCTACAGAGTATCTTATACAGGGGGATGCTCGGAGTGACCACGGCAGCGGCTCACCCACGTCAGCGCAGGTAATATCCATTTCAATACAAGTGACACACACCGTCAGTACAGGTGTAAACCACGCCAGCACAGGTAATATCCATTTCAGTATAGGTAATACCCACGTCAGTACAGGTAATACCCATTTCAGTAAAGTAATACCCATTTCAGTAAAGTAATACATCCGTCAGTTCAGGTAATGCTCATTTCAATACAGGTTATACCCACGTCAGCATAATTTATACTCATTTCAGTACAGGTAATAGGTTAATTGTCCTGACACGGTCATGCTTATATCAACGCAGGTAATACCAATTTCAGTACAGGTAATGACAATGTCAGTACAGATAATACTCACTTGGCCCATCTTTCCAGAATTCACAGTCTATCCTATTTGTATACCAGTCAAGTCACACTCAGGAACGTTCAGTCATAACGACTGTCAAGGTTCTAGTTTGATTACGTTACTATATTTTCGACGAACTGTTGACACTTCATATGTTTCAAGAGAAAGTAGGGGGTTCTACGGACTTATATACGAATTCTACAATTCTCTACAAATGATACAACGTTTCATTTTACAGCATGTGAATATGGGTTTCACTGACAACGTGAGAAGACGGCCCCGGGTTTCATTTTCCGTTGACTATGCAGAAGTGATTGGTTTCCAGGAAGACTTCGAGGTAACCACACAACCTGTGATAATCTAGTGGTTTTACTGTCCTTCGTTGACAGGGTTTTATATATTATATGTATGTATTATTAATTTAGAACTAGTTTTAGTCACGATATGGCTGAAATATTGCCGATGTGACTTTAAATCTTAACTCACTCACTCACTCACTCGAGGTAACCACAGAACTGCAAACTTCGTGGACGGAAACCTGTCTGTGGAACATGTAACCATGGAGGGTTTATATCCAGTTGCATTTTTCTGTAGTTCTTCATAAGACTTTTTAACCATTTCACAGGGAAACATTCAAAGACCACTCATCGCTAGCAGTCGAGTTTTATGTTGATTGTTATTGTAAACGTGATGGAGGTTTTAACGATCACGTCCACAACTCTGGCTATGTTTGTCTATATATTGTTTCCTATTGTGGCCAGTCATCTCCTGATCCGGGGGAAGGAAGGCGACGAACGCACCAGCATAATCTCAGCGTGGAAGAGATCCCGGAAAGTGATATTGAGGTACTCAAATAAACCCAACGGTTTAGTACTAGCATTGTGTGTCATTTGTATGCAGTCATTACAAATTGTATGCTCTGGAAACAATAGATACATTTTCTCCATGCATTCGCGAAGGCCCCGGGCGCATTAATTTATCCGCAGACAAAGATTGATAAACTTGTACGAAGAATGCTAATGCCGTTTAAAAGAAACCATATATAATCATTAACCCGTTCCAAGACCCCGAAAGACCTAGAGTAACCTTGACCTAACTAGGTCACGATGGAAAAATGGACACACGTAACATAGACAATGTCTTTCAGCAATATCCCAGTTAACAATTTCACGTTGTCACAATGTTGTCACAACGTTGTCACACCGTTATTCCGTGGACGTCTCCACAAGGTTAAAGTTATTTGATGCTAACGTCTTAACGTTTTGTTTAACGTTAATAGTGAATTATGTTCCCCGTAGTGAACAGTACATGAGAAACAAAGCAAAAATTCACTTCGTCAATTTGCATGTTGTTTTGGTCGTGTTTTCTGAGGCTGTAGCTGAATAGTGAAGAAAGAATCTCTTAAATGAAACGTTTTACAGAAAGCTCTATCGTGACACCAAGTTATAGGTGATGTGAGGTGAGGTGAATGGGGTTTAACATCGCCCTTAAGAATATTTCTCTCATATGACGACGTGCATGCGTGTGTATGTGTTGCTGCTTGTACTAGCCCAGATTTAAGCTGGTTTTATAGTTCTAGCTCACTGAGATACCATGCCGCAGTGAAGCATGAATACCCCACTCAGAGACATTATACTGATTCCGAGCCGACCAGTCCTTGTTGTACCCATAAATGCCGTGCGCCAGACAGGGAACAACAAGTACCATATTTTAACGTCTTTTGACGTCTTTTGGTATGACGCGGATGGGGATCGGATCGGCGACCTTCCGCTCTCCGGGTGGACGCTCTAACCACGACACCACGGAGGCGGTCGACACCAAGTTATAAGAAACGTTGTTGTGACGTTGTGCGGAGCCCACAGCATACCGTTTCCTCAACGTTAATTCGCATCGTTGTTATTAGGTTGTGACATAACGTTATAACATGATGTAATACTAACGTTATGCCTTTTGTTTGTGTTGCACTAATCTTAATGAGACCTATTCATGTAATATGTTTATTTCTTTAATAGGCCAACCGCCAACATGACAAATACATCATACATACTTTCAAAAGCGCATTGCCAACATTTTCCCTCCCCTCCCCACCCAACCCAACCCACTTGCAAAGACCTTTCGTGACAGAAGATGACAATAGGAGGAAATAAACATTCATGGATAATTCAGATTATAGTTTTGCTTTTACCTGAAATATATGATAAACAAATTTGGCTAAGTTGAAGGTTAATACTTCAACTTTAGTTTGTAGAAGACTTATAAACTTCATCATGTTTGGAGACTTGTATACGTCCAGAGGTAGGTAGCGACGTCTAAGTGTCAAGTACTTAGGACAAACCATGATAACATGATATTCATCCTCTATGTCATTTTTGCAAAAAAGACATAATCGGTTTTCTAAAGCTAGTTTTGGTCGAGCCCATCTTCCTTTCTCAATTATAAGTGAATGAGAAGATGGAAATATGACTTAACTCATGTTAATCAATTAATTCAGTCAATTAAAGGGTATATAAGCTTCGGGCATCTTCTTGCAATGTATCATTGATTCGAAATATCGAAAGCACAGGTAGACTACAATTCCTTCGACCCGGGGTGGTAAATATTTCTGGTGCAGAGAGGTGACAGGTTTAGAGTAAACTACGGAAAAGCGGAGACCTTTCCTCGTGGTGATGTAATACCAAAGACTGTGGTACCAAAACTTCAACCATGAATGAAGTTTATTAGAATACAGTTATCAGTTTCTCTACCATTTTCTCTTTAAATTCAACCTAGTGGTTATTTAACTTTTTTCCTTTTATGTGTTTTTCAAAAGTTTTAATCTGCATGTCCACCCTGACTTCAGTGTTTCAGTGTTATTATGATATGTTATGCAACGACATTATCAATATAACTTATATGTATATTTATACATCTATGTTTCAGAGGGCACTGAGGATGCGCAGGAAACCTATCGACCAGATGTATAACGTGGTGAACGCCTTTCATGACAGGCGTACAACAGTAAAGGAGGTGAGAATTGGAGTCTTTCACCAAGCATCATTACGGCTTGATAAAAGCAAATATTGTGTGTTGCATTGACGGTTTATTTCTTTGACTGGCATTCTAGAAATTGGCAGTACACTATTGACAACCACTATAACAACCGATAACATCGTTTCGTCTCGATACTATAAGTTGTTCACTGGTCACGAGGGGGGCATGGGTTGATGTACCCATGGGCCCCAAGGGACCAGTGAACAACGTATTTATCTTACCGAACACCTAAATGTTAATTTTGAATTGTTTGAAGCACGGATACAAATCTTTTTGTAGCCATCGGTAGATTTTGCTGACAAGGAAAACAGATTTAGAGTTATCTCCCTTCCATCGATTTGCATTCGCAAAACATCGGTAATTTCCGTACATCATACGTGATCATTCAATGTTATTCGAGATAAAGAATTACTACCACGAAGTACAGAATGAGTTGCCATTGACAGCGGGGTACATTGAATTGTTACTTGCTTGTAAGCGGGGTACATTGAAAATAATAGAAGAGCGCTCAGCCAATCAGAAAGCGACATTTATGTGTGAGGTAAGATAAAGATTATTGCACTGCTGTCAAATAGGACAAGAAACCATGTACAAGAATATGCATCGAAATGAAAGAAAAGAAGTTGTTATCCATAAAGTTTGTCAATATTGTATTGATGGTTGTCCCATCGAGGCCTTGTATATGATTGATTTGTCAGCGCGGCTATACTTGGTAAAATGCTGGTAAATTTAAACATTAAAGCGACAAATATATCATGAAACCCATAAATAGGTTAATATTCTAATCATTCAAGATGTGAAATTTACTAATTGTTTAAGTCTGCGTATGTTCCAATAAAAGTATATGTTGTCTAAAAGTGGGTGATTAAAGAATAGTAATATTGGAAACATCAAGAATATTTATTGGCAAAGATGGTTGTTGGAATTTATACTTTTTTCTGAAAACTCATGTATGCATCGCTCTTGCAATTACGAAATGCCTATCGTCGTCCAACATTATGAAACGGTAGGATCATTAACAATGACAAAACTGTATTGTGTAACGATCCTGGCGCTGAACATAATACGTTTTCATGTCTCCACCGTTTGTATCGGAAAGATAACTGTTTCTTTAGAAATGTGCTATCATCAGTCCAAATATTGTTAAATGTCATAACTATTTGTTTGATTGACTGTATCGGTTAACGATAATCCCTGATAGATTGTGAACAAAACATGTTCTGCTTATTTCTGTTGAGTGGAAACTTGAGTGTATGATCGTGATAATGATGAGGTTATAAATATGTAACGTCCTCACAGTCAGCTATAAATTAATCCATACACTGATCGTCATCAATACAAAGGAACTTAAACTGGTTTTAAGATCATATTTCGTTTTTACGTCCTTTGTAGACGGAGACGAGTTTAGCCCTCACTGTTAATTGGCCAAATCTGTTGGTGCCAGATCTTTCCAGGAAATAATTACAGTGTTATCGTACACGAGCACACTTCAGATGAGGACCTTAACGGAAATTAATCAAATCCGAAGACCCTTTAAATTCACAAATTTTGACATTTATTGACTGGGTGTGTATATTCACTTAGAGCATGAAGAGATGGCGTGGGTCGCATATATGACCTCAGTTAATTCATAGTGTACAGATATAAATAAATATGTGCTGTAGAATGTTCCTGTCAGAGTCAGGTTTGTTAGGATCCTCCTCCTCATCATGATAATATCAACATCATCATCATCATCATCGTAATCATCAGCAGCATAAGCATCGTCATCAGCATCAGAAACGTCATCAGCATTAACATCACACAAGGGAACCCACGAACGGTTTATTATTCTTGATAAACCATCCGATAACTGACCTTTGTAACTTGATAACCACAGTGTTTTCACATTTTCTTATGCTTTCGTATTTTACATTTTGCATCTTATACTTAGTATGGTGGAGGAAAATCAGCCATACGTATCGTATTTGTTTCAGGAGAGAGGGACGCCTCACACTCCTAGAGGTCGATGGAGGTCAGCGTATGAAGCAGTACGGCAGGCAAAGACGTTTCAAATAACGTCTACTGTATACAGAGGACGTGACGGGACATCACAATATTTATAGACGTGGGCAATGTCCCGATTACATGCAGCGTGTAAAAGTGCCTGTTAATGTTCCGACCTGAGCAATGCTCTGAATATATATAGCCTGCAGCTGGGCAATGCTCTGTACATTTGCCTGCCAATTAAATTCAGGCCTATCGCACATATACTTGTACATACACAGTGCACCAAATATCGGCGTATTCTATATGGACCATGGATTGGTAAAATTACAGCCATTGAAGTATTCATTTCTTGCAGGTTTTACCAAAAATATTCAAATAGTTTGTGTACTCAAACAACATATGGTTGAATAGTTATTTCTGTGATCATACGGAGCCCGGTGTTTATCCGAGTGAATGTAGTTTGACTGGTTTATGGTCCCATGTTGAATACCTCTTTTGCGATGTTTCCATGGGAACGAGGTTACATTTGAGGCTGGGTGTAGGATCGATCTGTTCAGCACTGTTGCTATCTCTCATCAGTTATCAAGCTCTGGAACGTGCGTTTCTCGACATGAGGTTCATGACAATGCCTTAGGCGGATCTAGAAGGGAGGAGGGTGGTGAGGGGGTGCGTGCAGTCCCCCCACCGCCCTGAAAGTTTATTAGATGACCATTGAGACTCGGGTTGAAATGAAGTGTGCACCGCCCTTTTCTCATAAGTGTGCACCCCTCTTTCTCAAAAAGCTGTATCCGCCCCTGAATACCACACTTTGTGTTGTTTCTTTAGGCTCGTTATCACGTGTATATATCAATGGATATAGATCTTGAAAGAAGAATGTAATGACATGATTCCTTGCATTTGTATAATTTATTCATATGACGGTTCCCCGGATAAAATAGTTCCGGTGTTAGATGAAATACTGGGCCGATGGGGTAGCCTAGTGGTTAATGCGTTCGCTCAGCACGCCTGAGAACCCGGTGTAATGGATACAATGTGTGAAAACCATGTCTGGTGTCCCCGCAATTATATATATTGCTTGAATATTGCCAAAACGGCATTGAACCATATTCAGTCACTCACTCACTACATGAAATACTGAGTGAGTTGGATTTGATTTATGTTATAAGAAAACTTTACTGAGGTCATCGGTTGCTAACTAACTGGCGAATAACGTGTATCTCCATGATGATACCACGTGTTTTCAAGGACCAAACAGAACTGTGTCATCCTTATATAGACAGTGCACGGCTTCATACTGTACATTAGGCAGAAACATAGCAATACAATGACATCAATAAATTTCTAATGTCTGTTCTATATGTAAACATGTAATTAATCTTGTGAATGTGCCTGTTCTGAACTTCGACGAAAAAGTTCACTTGGAGAATAAAAAAATAATTATTATCTTCAACATTCTTATTAATTGCACTAACTTCCTCTTCTCCACCTGAAACTCAAAATACACTATGTCTATAACACGAAATCCGAATCCCAGCCATCCGTATTTTTTTCTGTTCTCCATCGACAACCCCAACAAGCAATAGAACGGAACGGTGTCAAAAATAGATGAATAATACGTGTTCAACTAATTGTGTAAAATGTATAAAATTACAAAATTCAAAACTCTTGGTATTTGTCTAAAAATCAATACGAGTACATGTATATAAGGGGGTGGTTAAAGCGTTCGCTCGTCACGCCGAAGACCCGGGTTCAATTTCCTACATGGGTACAATGTGTGAAGCCCATTTCTGGTGTCCACGCCGTGATATTGCTGGAATATTGGTAAAAGCGGCGTAAAACCAGACTCACGCACTTAAATTAATATGTGATCGACTGGCTTCGGAAACAGTTTGTGATAAGTACGGATAAAGAAAGATCATGCCGACCTGGGTTGTTTAATGAGGATGTAAGAGTAAGAGATTTTCGTTAAACATATCAGAGCATAAAGAGGTGAACTCCAGAAATTTCTATAATTTCACGTCGGACTGGACTTCAGAGCAGGCGGAAGATACGGACAGCAAAAGTGTGTTGTTGTTTTGTTGGTTGGTGTTTAACGCCACACTCAACAATATTCCAGCAATATGGCGGCGATCTGTAGATAATCGAGACTGGACCAGTGATCGACATCATGAGCATCGAGCTCTGGGAATACGATGACATGTGTCAGCAAGTCTGACCACTTGATCCTGTCAGTCGACTTTTACAACAAGCATGGGTGACGGACAGACCAATTCTATCCCGGATCTTCGCGGGTAGTTATTGATGTACGCCGGTGTCAAAATAACGTATCGGTTCATGAATAATAGAGCCCGACCCTCCCAAACCAGGGGTCAGTAACATAAGCAGCACAAGGCTGATGCACATTCAGCCAGGTTACAATCTAAACCATATCTGTCCGAAACCAACCTCAGTGACCGCCTTGGAGATGGGGGCTGCCATGTGAGAACAGGTAAGATCTGATGGTAGCAAAGCGATATTCTTCATCATGGCGGACTGTATACAGTTGAGCCAAGCAAGTTATTGTTCGATAATTCTTTGTATATTTTCCACACCGTCGGTTTACAAAGACATTCAATCAAATGAGACGCAAAGATGGACCACCCAATTAAATTTAGCGGCCTCCAGGCATTGGTTACTGGGGACAAACATTCACCATCTGTAAAGAACTGCAGGTTAATACATCTTGTAGGATGGAAACACATCAAACAGTATACTACTTTCAACTGCATTGGCGGAAACGCAGTTCCAAAGAAAACAATGATCTTTTGACACGACGAAAAGAAAAGAAAAACAGAACAATTGTACGAGAGCCTGGCAGTTGCACTAACTCTGTTCTCAACTCTCATTGATCGATATGTATTGTGCTTTTACGATAGTAATTAGTAGAATGAATAGAGGGTGTTCTATACATGAGTGCAGTATCTGGGGAAGGTGTTCACTTGGAATTACAATGTTTAGTCGACCTCATGTCAAGTTCAACTTTTTAATATAACACTTTGTAGCACAATGATGCGAGAAGCGTTAGAGGTTGTCAGGTACACATGCATATCTGTCACTAATTCCCAATATGACCATTCAAGTCTCTTGGTTGATTTGGTCATGTTTGTTTGTTGTTTAACTCAGACAAGCAAGTAGGTAGGTAGGTAGGTAGGTAGGTAGGTAGGTGGGTGGGGTAGGTGGGTGGTGGGTAGGTAGGTGGGCAGGGGTGGGTAGGTGGGTGGCAGGTAGGTGGGTGGGTGGGCAGGTGGGTAGGTAGGTAGGTAGGTGGGTAGGTAGGTAGGTGGGTAGGTGGGCAGGTGGGTGGGTAGGTGGGCAGGCAGGCAGGCAGGCAGGCAGGTGGGTAGGTAGGCAGGTAGGTGGGTAGGTGGGCAGGGAGGTAGGTGGGTGGGCAGGAGGGAGGTGGGTAGGGTGGGCAGGTAGGTAGGTGGGTGGGTAGGTGGGTGGGGCAGGCAGGTAGGTGGGTGGGTGGTAGGTAGGTAGGTGGGTAGGTAGGTAGGTAGGTGGGCAGGGAGGTAGGTGGGTAGGTAGGTAGGTAGGTGAGTGAGTGAGTGAGTTATTATTTAACGTCACATCGGCAATATTTCAGCCATATCGTGACGAGAACACTTGACATTAAATAGAATATATATAGAAATAATAAAACCTGTCGACGAAGGACAGTAAAACAACTAGAATATCACAATTACAACTAAAACTAGTACTGAGAGTTAAAACTGATAGCACTATTTGGACAATACAATTTAAAAACAAGCCATAGATCGCCAACACCAGAAGGTAGATCACCAAACTAGGGACCATGGGGACTTACAGTACTTTGGCTACCTGCATGGACCCTAGTTGGATTCACACCATCCCTTCAGCTGCTGGCGATTGTAAGAAATGTTAGCTATAATTAAAAGACAAGAATGCTACGTCTAAAAATCCTGGTAAGTTTAAATTGACTTTGAAAGTTTTGGGACTTACGTACCCCCTCAGGAGGACAATAATTTTACACTACGTCAACCCCCTTTGAGGGTACAGCCACTAACAATCTCAGTAACTAATATAAACTACCAATAATAAAATATTTATCTATTTACAAATCAGTTAACAAATCTAATTCTCTTAAAAATTCAACTATTAAATGATAATTAACATTATAAAAAAGATCCTTCAATGTTTTGACACTAAAATATTTATCCCTTGTGATGGAATATTCAACACAGTCAAGCAGGACATGCTTGACCGTGATTCTTTCATCACAAGGGATACAAACTGGAGGATCCTCACCTTTCAATAGGTACACGCATGAGTATATCTTGTGTGGCCAATACGACATCGTCGTATGATGACCTCTTCAAATCTGGACTGACAACCCAAGTAGGTGTAACCGATAGTTGGTTTAATTGCATGTAATTTATTGATACCTACTTGGGTGTCCCACTTCTTTTGCATTAGATCGCGGATGTATGTTCTAATGCTGGCTTTATAATCAGAGTATGGGATAAGAACTGGTGTCACAGATGTGTTGAGGGCTGCCTTAGCAGCAAGATCAGCCATGGTGTTCCCAGAAATGCCAACGTGGCTGGGTAACCAACAAAAGACGATGTCGCATTGGCCAGGTAGGTAGGTAGGTGGGTAGGTAGGTGAGTGGCTGGGTAGGTAGGTCGGTAGGTAGGTGGGTAGGTAGCGAGGTGGGTATGTAGGTAGGTAGGTGGGTAGGTAGGTAGGTAGGTGGGTGGGTAGGCAGGAAGGTAGGTGGGTGGATAGGTAGGTAGGTAGGTAGGCGGGTAGGTAGGTAGGTAGGTTGGTAAAGTTGGTAGGTAGGTAGGTAGGTGGGTAGGTAGGTAGGTAGGCAGGAAGAGTTGGTCGGTTAAGTTGGTTGGTTAAGCTGGTTGGTTGGGTTGGTTGGCTGGTTGGTTGGGCTGGTTGGTTGGGTTGGTTGGTTGGGTTGTTTGGTTGGTTGGGTTGGTTGGTTGGGTTGTTTGTTTGTTTGGTTGGTTGGTTGGATTGGTTGGTTGGTTGGTTGGTTGGTTGATTTGGGTTTGTTGGTTGGTTGGGTTGTTTGTTTGTTTGTTTGTTTGTTTGTTTGGTTGGTAGGGTTGGGTTTGTTGGTTGGGTTGGTTGGTTGGTTGGTTGGTTGGGTTGGTTGGTTGACGCCACACTCAGCAATATTCCAGCTATATGGCGACTGTATATGGCGACAGTGATCAACAGCATGAGCACGATCTCCGCAATTGGGATACGATGACATGTCAGCCAAGTCAGCGAGCCTGACCACCCGATCCAGTCAGTCGCCTCTTACGACAAGCATGGGATAATGAAGACCAATATTCTAGCCGGGTCTGTAGGTATGTAGGTAAAAGTGGGCATCACTGCCACCATTTTAATCAATAATTTAACATCAAGATACAGTACTGTAACAGAATTCTCGTCACAGTGAGACGCCTGTGTCACGAACAATCCATACTCTGCCGATGGTATTTCGGAAATCTTTCGTTTAATTGTAAGGAAGGGGTGGAGTATTAATCGTTATTGTTTCTATGTAGCATATCATTTGTAATCAGCCATCAAGCATGCTTCAAACATTGGCGGATGTTTAATGTACGTCAACATATATTTATTTTCTTTGCCAGAAACGAAAATTCAATGAGCATCGTTTTGTTAGTTTGTCGAAGAACCTGAGTATTAACGCGTATGTTATTGATAAACATTTTACGTCGAATAAAACACAGGACCTCTTACAGTGTGCAGGTGTGAGAGTAGGCGGTGGCAATGTTCAATTTTATTCGTGTAGCATTTGGCAACTGTGTTCTGTTTACACGGTAATAAGGAGCTTTTGGTTCACGTCAATATCTTTGATATCTTTTCTTTGATGACACTGGTAGAAATTCTACTGTAAGGGAAGAGATCAGGTTTACACTGCATTGTGTTACAGTCTCGATAAAGGCTGGCGAACCGGAAAGCTAAAGTATACGAGTTTTCTTATCTCTTCATAAGAGGAGCGGTGGGGTATCCCAGTGGTTAAAGCGTTCGCTCGTCACGCCGAAGGACCGCGTTCGATTCTCCACATGCATGGGTACATTGTGTGAAGCCCATTTCTTATGTCCCCCGCCGTGATGTTGCCGGAATATGCTAAAAGCGGCGTAAAAGCCAACTCACTCACTCACCCACTCTAGGCTTGCTTTGTCTATGGATATTTAGGAGTCCCTACAGCGGCAATTATTGGTGCAGCTGTGAATTGGAGGAGCAATGTATCCACCTATGAGTTCGGGTGTATAAGGGGCGATGCTGTACCCTAGTAGTAAAAGCGTTGGCTCGTCACGCCGGCTCGTCCGTTGGCTCGTCCAGCAATATCACGGCGGGGGACACCATAAATGAGCTTCACACATTGCGCCCATGTTGGGATTCGAACCCGGGTCGACAGCGTGACGAGCCGACGCTTTAACCATTAGGTATCACAGGAATAGTGTTTAAAGCGAGGTTAATCAAAACAATCATTCACTCACTCGCTGGGTATTTTGTAAGTCCAGACACGTAGATTTGATTCCATTATAATTATTTTTGTTTAATGTCACGTTCAAACATGATTAAGGTCCTGGCATCAAAGGATACTTAAGCGATCATCATATTTTATTCGCCTATGTATACAAACTACACTGTAATGAAACAAATTGAGGTTCACATTTCTATAAGAAACAATGCTTCATACACATGGGTTTATTGAGATCACGTATCTCCTATCCACGAGCAGGTGCTGTATTTTGTAAAGATGTCTCAAATTGTCCTTTTTGTGAACCACGAGATCTGTTAACATGGCTCATGCGATTTTAGAATTACACGTCCATGATTTTCACACAAACAAATGTCAAGGTGGTGTAAAAGGAAATGGGTAAAGGAGGACGCGCCGCAACAGTTTTAATGGAAATGAAGATAAAAAAATGTGGAGGATTTTGTTTTGCCTCTAAGTACGATTTTCAATGTTGAATTTCTTGTTTTCTATCGTTATCACTTCGGGTAACCACTATATGTTCTTGATATAACCAATGCAGCATTTAAGCTGGTTTCAAACACCAAAGGGGATATCCCTTTGTCCGTAGTATGTCAAACTGGCCAACAGAAAAGGGGGGAAAGTTTGCCATCGTGAAAACCACGGGATTAAATCCAGGGATAGAGGAGGTTTATGAGGGCCTGTAAGTAGGTCACGACACTTTGCGAGACCCTAGTATTTCCGGTGACAAACTACGTTTCATACCCATTTGAATGGTCTCATGGTTGTCAGCTGACAGTAAGGAACTGATCATCTTTGCGGGAATAACACATTTCCGATCTAATCACCCTCAAATTAGCCAAATAATATTACGACTGTCAACAGCTGTGACAGCCAATGCAAGTATGGTTGAACACTTGGTTCGGTCTAGTAAAGTCATAGTTGGCGGTTGCGCAATTTGGAACTAGAACTGGAATATACGCTTGTCACCGGAAATGTGGTACCGGAAGTAAACTGGACACAGTCTCATACACCGCAAGTGGGAGCGCGCAAAGGGAGCTGGGAACCAGCTTGGTACTGGAAGTAGCCCCTCGCGAGACTTACAGGCCCTAAAGGGAGTGGATTGTTAATGAATGCGAGTCTGCCAATAAATCTTCCCCGGTGATCCAGCGTCTTTTCTCTAGGGAATGCATGTTGTTAGTTTTGCCTGTGAGTAACCCGTGACAAATTCACACACACTGTACAACGCGCCAAAATCACACTGGAACGACTTCCATTTCGGTGAGCCTTTGTTCTTCCGGGCGCAGGGTTTAGTATTATCCGGGTTATCCGTGTCCCAGTTGAGGTAGTCACCGTAGGTTGCTCCCGTCTCCCATGTCCACTGGATCCCGTCATACTTGGCTCCGAAGAAGAATCCACCATCTGTAGGAAGGAAAAGCTTAAACACTGAATGTCGCAAGATAAAAAGGATTAAGGTGTAAAACAACATACTCTGAACAATTTCGATCCACCTGACCTTACTGATGTAATGTAAGAGGGAGTGGGGGTCGGGGTGGGGGTGGGGGGTCCATACTCTTACCAAATGACAATCCTTCAGTTAACACAACTCTCCAAATACAAACATTGTGTTGTATGACACCACAGACATGGAGATCTGCCAGTTGGTATCAATGCGTTTTGAGCCAAGCATATATAATAGTGAAATATTGTCTAGAATTGAATTTCAACATACAATGTATCTCCCTTGAAGTTAACTTCACTTGTTCTATATCTTCTTCAGGACTGTCTTGTTGAATTGTAATCCCTGGTCTGTCAACCTGTCCACCACAGTTGCAACTGGTTCTTGATCCTTGTTAAATCTTTGCCAAAGCAAGTGTTTCCAGGGACCTGGGTGCTGTTGTACAAACCAACTTTAGCGCTAAGACTACCTCAGGTCTGTGTTAAGATATGTGAACTACGGTTATCTTAGCGCTGAGATCGTTTTGTACAATATCACCCTGATCTGCCTACTAAACTCTCTTACACATTCCTGCACCTTGAATGGTGGTACTGTGATGAAGCACACGCCGTCGTGAAATTCCTGGATGTGCATTAGCCTTCATTCCATTCGAGAGCATTGCAGGAGACTGTAGTGTTAAACCTGTGGCACCAGATGCTTATGAAGGATTTCCCTCGGTCCATATTGTCATGCATCTGCTCTCCAGTACTAGGATGTGGACAGCATCGATGTTCACCTTGGTGGTTGTGGGTAGATCCAGAGCTGGGTCATCTTCCAAAATTTCTCTTCAAAGCTGAAGCTACTCCACCCAATAGCCATGGTGATGGGACCTCATGGGTAAATGCTTGTTCGATATTCGATTATTCCATTCAATGCTAATATGTTAGGTGATTCAGAGTCTGCAATTATTTGCGAATCACTGGACAGAAGAATGGTAGATTGCGAATTCAAAGACATAACAAACACATACTAGTGCATCGTGTGTTACATATATGTATACTTAGCCACATCGGCCTCGTAATGTTAAAGGTGTGAAGTGAAATATCTTTTAAGCATTTTTCTGCCACAATGTATTTTTCTGGTTCAAATCGCAACCCCTTCCAATGCCAGTATATCACATGGTTGGTCCCTAACATATAGGGGGAGTGGGGTAGCCCGGCGGTTAAAGCATTCCATTTTCACGCCGAAGACCCGGGTTCGATTCCCTGTATGGGTAAATGTGTGAAGCCCATTTCTGGTATCCCTCGCTGGGATATATTGTAAAAACACTTCCTACTTTTTCGCACCACCTCTTTGAACATCAATCAGCAAATAGTTAAAACAAAACCTGTTGATCTTCAGGTGCAAATTGGTGAAAAGTCAACATTATTTGATCGAAACAAAGTCTCTTGAAAACAATTTAGATTTACAAATTGACAGGATCTCATTGACAATGAAAGATTTATTTAGTTAGATGAGCACAACGTACCGTAGCTGGTGGCATAGTCAGCCAGGAAGGTGTCCCGAGCGGCGGAATTGACAGCCATGAGTTGTCCCCCCATGGTCTGACATGTTGCTCGGTGACTATCAGCAGTAGTCATTGTGTTCAGGACTTTATGGCAGATTTCTCCAGCGCTGTCATACGCGAAACCTTTGTCCAGCGGACACTCTGAATGTGGACCTAAATGAAAACAAACGATCGTCAGTGCATAGATATGTAAGGCGTCCATTACTGCCAGGGACGTTGCGTGACTACCCCAGAGGTTGATACTCATGGGTCCAAATCCAATACAATATGTTTTTGATTGCTCGTCAGTGATTGTGCCTTAAACCAAAGTTGTAAACATCCAAGTCCTGTATCAGTTCTGGATACTGGTCGAAACAATCATTAGACTCCAAACATCAGTTTCCTAACTGACAGGGTAGAGAACAGGTCGACCAAAACTAGAGCTGGAATGATAGAGAGTGACTTGGTTTAAAGCAGCGTATAAATTTCCTGCCTGCCCGACCGTCCGGAACGGTCTTTAAGTTTGAGGTGTTTAAGGTATTATGATAATTATGTTAAACTATTTACGATTGGACAATTCATTTTTAATAACCAATCACAACACATGTACTTTCAGTTTACCTTAACTCGGCGCATTGCCTGTTAGTGCTATGTTGTTCATTGCGCTGCCTACAAACAGTATTCAGTAACCTGATTTTTTTTTCATTGTTGAAAACCGGACAGGCAAGTTTGTATCCTGACTGGTATGTTTTTAAAGTTACCAGTCCGGCTGTCTGGCTTGGACTTTTGACACTGTTTAAAGGTGGCTTGAAAAGAACATGCATTACTCTCATCTTGGTATATCCTCACAATACAAGTGACCGTGCTGTGCCAATGATCTACGCCAAGCATCTCAGCCACAAATACCGTTTGTGCTCAGGTTACAAATTACCCACTTGAAGACAAAAAGAGAATTCAAATTGTTCTTTGTTTTTTTAACGTGGAAGCTGGTACTGTAAAAGTCCTGGCAACAAAGGAGTACCGTTTACATAAAAGTCGAATTCGGAGAATCCCTTCGTCAGAGTTAAATTTTCTTACCCTATCGGCCGTGGCCACGTCCTGCAAACGACTTTAGCCCTAAGACGACCGTAAGCTAAGGTATTGGAGTTACCATCAAACCCAATACAAAGTTGGTTGGTTGGTTGGTAGTTTAACGCAGCACTCAGCTATATGCCAGCTATATGGCGACGGTCTGTAAATAATGGAGTTTCGACCAGACAATCAAGTGATCACCGTCATGAGCATCTATCTTAGCAACTGAGAACCGATGACATGTGTCAACCAAGTCAGTGAACATGACCACCAGATACCGTTAGTCGCCTCTTACGACTAGCATGTGTTACTGAATACCAATTCTAATCTGGATCTTCACTGGTAAGGGAAATCAGATTAGAGAAACCTTCGGTATCATGTTTATAAGACACTAATTTTGAGTCCACCGTTCCCACGAAAGGCTGTGAGTTTTTACAGTTAGAGCCAATGTTCTCATGAATGGTTACTATATTGTATTATCCGACAGACCATTGATGATATTTGGCGTTTTTTATAGTGTCCACACATCGTAAAATCAACGCAGACAAAGCGACAGTGAAAAGGAAACAAGCTACCCTATGAATACAGCTTTTTCTAAATTTAAATACTCTTATCTTAACTTTAGGGCTTAGATACAGGAATGCAAAATATTACTTTGGTGGGTGAGTGAGGTGGATTATATATTATCTGGACATGCATGCCTTAAGGTAGATGATTCTAATGTTAGATCTACTGTAGGAGATCTGTCGGGTAATCCCATCTGTGCCATACGAACGATTTATGGAAGCTATTGATGTTTAAAATTGTTGTCTATTTTTGGTTTAACGCCTCACTACAATATGAGCCCTATGCTGATAACCTTTTGGATCGGGTCGTCAAGCTCGGTTGGATGACAGCGATTCGCCGATCATAATATCTGTTCCAGAATCGATTTTTTACAGAAAAAATGCCCAACTTGAATAACCACTACGAACGTGCTTCAAACTTACCTCACAGAAGATCAATATGGAAAGCAAAATAACTTCAACTGTGATTCGCCGATCATAATATCTGTTCCAGAATCGATTTTTTACAGAAAAAATACCCAACTTGAATAACCACTACGAACGTGCTTCAAACTTACCTCACAGAAGATCAATATGGAAAGCAAAATAACTTCAACTGTTGTATTGTTATTCCAAAAATTATTTAAAATCATGTTAATAACTGTGTCCGATCCATCTGTGATTGTGTCAAATCTTGCGTTAAATCAAATAATATGTTTTCCGAAATGTTCCAGTGTAATATTGGAGTGCGTCAAGGGTGTGTCTTAAGCCCCTTTCTATTTTCTATTTTTATAGATGATTTGGTTAGTGAACTTGAGTCATCTTGTTATCCTGGTATACAGATGCATCCAGAACTAACACAAGTATTTCTCCTGCTGTTCGCTGACGACGTAGTACTCCTCTCCGATACTGTCTGTGGCCTACAAAAGCTTGTAAATATCTGCTTTGTGTCAAAATATCAACCCCTAATCACATCGTTCGGGGTGAGTGTGGCAGATACCCTGTCTATCTTTATGCTTACAAACGTTGTATTAAATACTGGTATAAACAGTACTGTTGAATATGCCAGCATCTCGTTTGCCCAGAAAGTGCTATAACTTATTATTGTTAGATGCTAGCCATGGTAAAACAAATTGGGTATCAAAACTTAAGTTATTACTTTACAATATGGGATTAGGATATATATGGGAAAGACAGTATATTAGTAGCTTAAATTCCTTCCTGTCTGAATTTGTGATCAGTGCTCAACATATATTCCATCAAGAATGGCATAACTCGTTATCATCAAGTTCTAAAACTTATTCATATTTTCTTTTCAAGTGTAATCTATCTATGGAACCATATCTTAGTGTTATTAACATTAGTAAATGTCGCAGTGCACTCACACAGTTTCGCTGTGGTTCCCATCAATTAAATATTGAGACAGGTAGATAGACAAATAAGCCCAGACATCACAGGTTATGTAACATGTGCGACAATGGATATATAGAAAACGAGTATCATTTCCTTTTAGTGTATACTGCATACAGTTCCTTGCGCACTATATATATTCCTGCCAAGTTTTACACATACCCTTCTTTGTCAGATTTCAATATATTGATGACCTCAAACAATACCTTTGTCATCAGAAATGTAGCAATGTTTATTTATTATGCTGTAAAGCACCGCCAACCATATATGGCTGCAAATATTTAACATAGCTTGCACGTGACAACCATGTAGATAGGCATACACACTTGAATATAGATTATTCCGGCACTTTACTCCAAATGAAATAGCCCTCTACAATTATTGAAAGCATAATCGTGTCTCTAAGTGATTACATGTTTGTATTCAGGGTTTCCGGACAATACCTTATTCTATGTTCAAATTCAGGTCAATATGTAGATAAAGAAATGCATGTTATTAGATAAACATTCCTCTATTGCATTAGCATGTACATGCACCACTTCATATGTATGTAGAAAATGCGTTTTGGGAATTTAGATATTATCATAGATCGGAGGATTCTTTTAACACGAACCTTACACAACACAATCACGTGAACTACAAAATGTATAAAAAAAACTAAGGAAGGTAAAGGAATAATTATTCATTATTTATTCAATGTTCAGATAATGTTTTAACTACTTTGCATCGATTGGAACTGGATATTGGAATTGTGATATAATGATAGTGTAGTCGTGCATCATTTGAACATGATACTGTCTTGTTGGCAACGTTTCTTAAGCGTCTTTATGAAGCTGGGCCCACTTTAAATATCCCCTTGTATTTCTCAGCAATGTATTCATTACAATTGATCTTCGGCACAATCATATAAAAAGAGGTGGATTTTTATGTGCAACCAGCATCGATATTGCATTCCAAGGAACCGTGGAAGTGATGAACTTGTGGTTCTAATGTGGTTCTAATGTTGGCGTGGCAGTTTTAGGATAAAAGCTTTTCTGGCTTGCGTACTGCTACGTCTTCATTCTCCGAATCCCAAATGAAGGAGTGAATTCAGTTCGTCATTAAACCTCTCACGGGGGTACTAGAAGAATCCATAAATGGTAGTTAATTTCTTTTATTCAGGGTACTGAAGAGGCCACAGGCCTATAGTACAATACAAGTGTGTACAGTCACATGGTATTTAAAACAAATCTTCTATTGTTGAACCCATGATAGATGTACAATGATAGATTTTTAACAATTTGTAGATTTGTTACTTTCAACAATAACCTTAATTTATATTCACGGTGATTGATGCGGTAAAATGGGCGGGGGATAAGTAACATTCTAAAATTGCGAAAATACGGACAGACTAATATAAAATGATACTCATCTTCTATCACCCGTAATGGTTGTTGGTATATACTAAAGAAGTAGTGATCTATTTAGTTATACATTTTCCAGAAAAAAACATGTAGAGGCAATTATTACAGCCACTCCAAGAGCGTTTTAATTAGGAGCTCACTGCACAAATTGTCGCCGAGCACATGTTGTCGCAGTGTAGGCCTACATAGCAACTCCATAACTTTAAAATGACAACATTTTATACAGGAGAATGCTTTAGAGGTAATATTATTGTATTTAGAAATTATATAAATTACCCAGCAAACCCAGGTTACTGACATGCCACTGTCGGGGTCTATCACATGCAAGTTCCATACAACATGAGGCATACACATTTAATGATAAAACATTTCCAGTTTGTAGTCGAACATTAATATCTTCAGTTAAATTATTCTTATTTTCATATAAGACACTTTAATGTAGTACCCATTCTTATTGAAGTACCAGTTGCATATATTATACGTACTGAGGGCAAATAAAAAGGTCATGAAAAGCAAAGTATTAATAGAGTCTGCATTCTTAACATCCTGAGGTGAGGTGAGGTGAAATTTGCTTTAACATCGTGCTTGAGTATATTTCGTTCATATGACGACGTGCATTCGTGTGTATGTGTATGTGCGGCTGCTTGTACTAGCCCAGATTTAAGCTGGTTTTATAGTGCTAGCCCACTGAGATACCATGCTGCAGTAAAGCATGAATACCTCACTCAGACACATTATACTTGTTGTACCCATTAATGCCGAGCGCCAGGCAGGGACCAACAAGTACCATATTTTAACGTCTTTTGGTATGACGCGGTCGGGGATCGAACCCGCGACCTTCGGCTCTCCGGGCGGACGCTCTAACCACTTAATATTCTGAGTCATCTAAACATCTATCATACTTATGGCCTTCGGATCACTGCAACCACACACATGTCGTCGATGGTGACGAGCGGCAAAACAATGTAGCGGGAACTTTGGCGTACATTGTCGCTATGAGACTCCTGTTACCTCCGTCATACGATATGGTATTCTGTTTGTTAAAAATTCAAACGGAATAAATGTAGCCGTTGATAGGCAACACAGGTAAATAAATACGAAGTGCTCAATTTCTATCGCATGTGTCTTCGGTTCGTTAGGTAACGAATTGGACAGACTTAGTGACTTACACACGTCAAGAACAAATAAACACTGCATCGACCAAAGGTTACCTTCAAGCAACTAATGTGTACAAAGAAAACAGCAGAATTGAAAAAAAGTTATCGAAGTTTACTAATAGCTATGTATATTGACACAGTCTACATGTTAGCTGTGCCCCGTCAAGTGTCTTTTTCTATGTACCCCGATGGTTTTGTTCTCTTGTACCACCTTTAGAATGGTTGAATGAGAATACAAAAGTTGACAATAAAACTCCGGGAAGGAAAAAGGAACTTTCAAACACGTATGTTTAATTATGGGGTATCTGAAAAAGTCTGGTCTTGGAATTAAATTAGCATTAGTTCAGTTAGTCATGATCTGTTCAGTTACTCATGATGTCAAATAAAGTGACGTATGTCAATAATCAATTCTGTATTCTGACACGAAAATGTTTCTTTCAAATTTGATGTTATATGACCCTAAACAGGCAGTCTAAACTAGTTTATCTTACGTCACAAACAAATGTCGCTTTCTGATTGGCTGAGCGCTCTTCTATTACTTTCAATGTATCCCGCTTACAAGCGAGTAACATTTCAATGTACCCCCGCTGTCAATGGCAACTCATTTGGTACTTCATGGTAGTAATTCGTTATCTCGAATTACATTGAATCACGTATGACGTACGGAAATTACCGATGTTTTGCGAATGCAAATCGATGAAAGGGAGATAACTCTAAATCTGTTTTTCCCTTCAGCAAAATCTAGCGATGGCTACAAAATGATTTTTACCCGTGCTTCAAACAATTCAAAATTAACATTAAGGTGTTCGGTAAGATAAATATACTCTGCAAAAAAGAAACGCACAGGTGAAAACTCAGGAATGTAAACACTTTATTTTGTTTCCAAATAAAACTTTAACTAATGATCGCACGAACGTAAAATTTCACATGGATGTTGTCAAGAGTCAGCTTTACAACATGCAGCTATCATTTGTCTCTGAAACCATTGCACCGGGCGTACAGATGGCGTGGAGGTCAGTACCTGTTGTGACCACCTCGAGCTTGCAACACAGCTTGGCACCTCCTGTCCATGGACATGATCAGTCTTTGAATCCGTGCTTGGGGGATCCTCCTCCATTCCTCCTGCAAGGCTTGAGACAGTTGTTGCAACGTTTGGGGTTGAGGCTGACGACGTCGAACGCGTTTCCCAAGCTGGTCCCACAAATGCTCTATTGGGTTCAAATCGGGGGATTTTGAAGGCCAGGGAAGAACTGTGATGTTCTGATTCGTCAGGTAGTCCATCGTGATGCGAGCCACGTGCGGTCTGGCGTTGTCCTGTTGGAAAACGTGACGTTGAGGGTTGATGACGGGTAAAAGATGACGTTGCAGAATTTCATCCCTGTAACGAATTGCAGTCAGGTTACCACGGACGTGCACCAAGTCACTTCTCCCGTTGTAAGAAATGGCCCCCCATACCATCACACTTCCCCCTCCAAATCTGTCCGCTTCAACTACACAATTACGGGCGTAACGTTCGTTTCTCCGTCTATAGACCCTCGTCCTACCATCGTGTCTTTGAAGTTGGAAACGAGATTCGTCGCTGAACCAAATTCGCTGCCAATGTCTCCAATTCCATCTCTGGACGTTCCTGCACCATCGAACACGTGCCAGGCGATGATGAGGTCGTAGTGTGCATCCTACGTGAGGTCGTCGAGGGCGTATCCCGTGCTGTCTGAGGCGATTTCTGATGGTCTGGGCGGAGACGCGGCGAAGACCTGGGACGTTCTCTGCTGTTTGTGTTGCTGGGACGGCCCGGTTACGTAAATGGAACACCCGGATGTAGCGGTCCTGTGCAGCATTGGTTACCCGTGGTCTACCACTCCGAGGTCGGTCGCGGGTCGAGCCCAGTTGATTGTAGCGCCTCCATAAACGGGAAATTGTTGTGTGATGCACGTTGAAGTGTCTTGCAACTGATGACTGAGATTCGCCAGCCTCAAGACGTCCGATGGCGATGTTCCGGTCAGCTTCGCTAAGTCGTGGCATGTTGAATTCGTCAGTAAACTGGCGTTGAAAGTGAATTGAACACGTTAAACTGCCTTCCTCATATACCCTACACACTGGTGCATAGGTGAAGCAACTTTCACGTGCATATCGTTCGAAGTGTCATTTACACGTGAAAATTTCATGATATTTTCAAAAACCATCATCAAACAACAATATTTCATGAAATGGTGTGTTTGAGCGATATTTAATGGATATGAACAAGTATACATTATGTTTGGTTAAAGTAACCGGGTTTTGTTTGCATAGAAATTAAATAAAGTTAATTTTAAATTTCATTATCACCTGTGCGTTTCTTTTTTTTTGCAGAGTACGTTGTTCACTGGTACCTCGGGGCCCATGGGTTGATGTACCCTCGATGTTTGTTTATGTTCCCCTTCGGGCGCAGGGAACATAAACAAACATCGAGGGTACATCAACCCATGTCCCCTCGGGACCAGTGAACACCTTATAATGTACTATTTCGTGAACGAGCGTGTATTGAACCCCACTTTGATCGGTTTTTACGTCATGTCAATGCCGGACTGTTTAATGTAGGAGTGTAGCCCGAAGTGAAAATCATCACATTGTCTCAGTTATTTGCGAGTGTTACTTACTCAGGTTCATGACAGGCTTCATTGAGTTGGACATGGAACTTACTGTGTTTTCTCAAATAAAATTCCATCAGGTAGAGCAAGACTACATACTGAAGCAAACTGTCGAATATAGTGTTTATAATAACAAACAATATGTTTGCCTCGAATAGCTGAAATGTTGCTTAAAGGGGAAGTGTACACGAAATATTCACCTTTTTTTCTTATGTGAACCAAAATGGACCTTTTTAATTACTTAATATCAATGTTTGAAAATATACACTCATTTTTCTTACAATGAAAGGATAACCCGAAATATAAGTGTTGAAATGTTGTGCCATTATGAGGCCTCTGTTTGCCGAGCTAAACGGGCCAGAGTTACCGCCCTTTGATTATGAAGTAATTGGTGCCAGTTGATTTAGACTGGGTTCCTGTCTAGTACCAAAGCAAAAGATGTAAATACTGACATTAATCACGTGAAAACAAAATATGTAAAAATACGAAAGAAACATTACAACTGAAAATGTAAGCAGCAAGATAGAAATGATCATGTGTATTTTCATTCACAATCTCACCTCAATGGAAGTATCAAACAGCAATTTGGATGACAGATAATCGCCAATCGTTGTAAGTTAGTTTAATCAATACTGCGAAATGTCGAGCTTGAGGAAAATGGTTTTTACGTGCTAGGTGGGGGCAGGGCATATGATCACGATAGGTTTGACCTGATACTGGCTTCTACAGCAGATATACAAATTGAGATGATAATATTTAATTGATATATAAATTATTTGATATTATCTGTCACATTTTGTGAGGTGAAACTGGGTTTAACTTTGCGTTCAGTATTACTGCAGATACACGTGCCTGGCCATAAGCGTGTGTATCTCTTATAGTGTGTGACCGCTTGTGCCTGTACTTACATTTGGGTATAAAAAATAACCCATTGATATGTCAGCCATCGGTTTAAGTTGAATACCACATGTAGTCACAGTTGATCAACTCCGAGCCGAACAGCCCTTGTTTCATACCGTTAATGACGATAGGCACGGTAACAACAAGTAGCATATTTCAACGTCTTTTGATATGATGAGGCCGGGAATCGAATAACCGGACCTCCGGTCTGCGGGTACACACTCCATACCTTTGAGAGAGTGAGTGAGTCTAGCTTTACGCCGCACAATATTCCAGCTATATGGCGGCGGCCTGTAAATAATCGAGTCTGGACCAGACAATCCAGTGATCAGCAGCATTGAACATCGATCTACGTAATTGGGATACGATGACATGCGTCAACCAAATCAGCGAGCCTGACCACCCTATCCCGTTAGTTGCCTCTTACGACGAGCATATGTTACTGAAGACCAATTCTAACCCGGACCTTCACGGGCCCATCCCTTGGACCTTAGAGGAGTCTTGTACCAAAGAAGTGTCAGGTGATATATTTCATATCATAAATAAATATTTCATTTTTCGGCTTTCTAACCATTAATCAAACTTACCAACGACCTTAAAATTTCCAGATTTGACGATAATATACACCACCGACTCTTCCGCAGTCATCGTAGACGTAGGAGTGTCATAATTGTTCCTGTCAAAATGGCACGTGGACGTCCCGGAATCATAGAATATAGAATTACAATTTTCGTTGTAAAAACACTTCACAATGCAATCTGTCTGTGACGAAGAGGAACTTGTGTCCAAGCCAGGTTGTAACATCCCAGGAAACACAATAGACAGAGCAAACAATACACTCGTCATACCCACTTCAGCTGCTGTAACTAACACGCAATGAACACAGCGTTAAACACTACAGGCATGGTATCCCGCTTAGCCAAGCATCCACGCTTGAAATGAACATGACACGTACAATCCGCGCACCTGTATGGCCACATCAGTAAGAGCCAGTATGGTAGAGCACGACACAGCGATCGATCGTAAATTAGCTACAAGAGAGAGATTGTATATTGGATTATTCCATGGAAATTATTGGGTAAAATGCTCTGTTTCCGTTTACATGACTTTCTTTCGTAAAAGGTAAATATGATGTGAGTAATATTTGTACCATAATTTCCATTTTCAATGACTGAATGTTGCAGTTCACAACATGAGTGAGTGAGTTAATATGTAACGTCACATCGGCAATATTTCGGCCATATAGTGACGGGAACAAGGTAATTTATATCAATATTAAAAACAATAAATTTAGAACATAAAAACCTGTCATCGAAGGACAGTAAAAATACTAGAGCATCACAGATATAAAATTAAATCAGTAGAGACAGTACAAAATAAAAACGGGCTACAGATCACCAACAACTGAAGGCAGATCACCACACTAGGGTCCATGGGGACTTACAGTACTTTTGCTACCTGCATGGACCCTAGCTGGATTTACACCATCCCTTCAGCTGCTGCCGATTATGCTGAGTTTTAGCCATTATTAAAAAGAACAAATATACTACGTTTACAAGTTTGGTAGAGCTAAATTAACTTTGATGTTTTGGGACTTATGTACCCTCTCAGGGGGACAATACTTTTACGATACTTTAACCCCCTTTGAGGATACAGCCACTAACAATCGCAGTTGCTAATTCATACTACCATGTTTAAAATACCATTCATTTGTTTACAAAACATATTATTAAAAATTTATGTAATAATTCTATTTCTTTTTAAAATTCAATTATTAAATGATAATTAACATTATCAAAATGATCCTTAACTGTTTTGACATTGAAATATTGATTCCTTGTGATGGAATAATCAATACAGTCAAGCAGAACATGTTTGACAGTGATTCTCTCACCACAAGGGATACAAAACGGACGATCTTCAACGGAGTATATCTAGTAAGGCCAATACGATATCGTCGCATAATGACCTCTTCAAGTCTGGACTGACAACCCAAGTAGGTGTAACCAATATAGGGCTTTATCGCATGTAATTTGTTTTCACCTACTTGAGTGTACCACTTCTTCTGCATCAGATCACGGATGTACAATCTAATGGCTGCTTTGTAATCGGAGTATGGAATAAGAAGTGGTGTCACACATTTGTTGAGTGCTGCCTTGGCAGGAAGATCAGCCATTATGTTAGCAGATATTCCAACATGGCTGGGTAGCCAAGAGTGGACGATGTCGTATTGGCCAGTAGCAAGATCGTTATATAATTCAATAATTTCTAACAAAAGGGGATGTTTGCTAGAAAGACTTTTAACAGCCTGAAGGCAAGAAAAGGAGTCAGAAAAGATTACGTATTGCTTATATTTTGGGTGTTTATTAATATATTTAAGAGCCGTTAGTATTGCGTTTGCTTCTGCTGTAAAAATAGAGCTATTATTCGGTAATCGAGAAGATAATATTCTGGATCCAATGACAGTAGCACAAGCCACTGCGCAACCATCCTTGGATGTTCAAACAATAGATATTTCAAATTCCGTATAATTAGTAAAGGGTCATACGAATGCATATTACTGCTGAGCCACGAGCGAAGGAGAGAGAAAATAGATATATGGAACTGTCGTGTTAAAGTGAGTGAGTGAATGTAGTTTTACGCCGCTTTTAGCAATATTACAGCAATACACGGCGGAGGACACCAGAAATGGGCTTCACACTTTGTACCCATGTGGGGAATCGAACCCGGGTCTTCGGCGTGACGAGCGAAAGCTTTAACAACTAGGCTACCCCACGCCCCTGTCGTGTTAAATGTAATATATACTACATCGTGTTATTTGTTAGATGTTTAACATAATTTCTCTCTTCTAAAATGAACTTCGAACGAACTTGACAACGACGACTAAACGACTGAAGAAAGCATGGAGAATGTTGTGCCATGTCTGCAACAACGTTTGTCCAATTCAGCTAACGACAGTGCGCGATACGTGACATCACATTTCATGCAAAGTGCTTTGCTACGTATTTATTTAGGGGTATTTTTATAACTTTTCAAATAACTTTTATCTTAAGCAATTATATGATATGCACAGTTACTTGTTTCCGTCAGTATATATTTATACTTATGACTAATATTGACACCTGGACAATAGAAGACGACCTGGTGTAGCCATAAACGTGTTTGCACCAAAAAGACATTATTATGTTTTATCATGTCAAATTAGTGCCCATTCCTTTCACTCTGATTTCAAAGGACAGTGACAGTTGTCGTGACATCAGGATGTAGATTAAGCAGATCCTCTTGGGAAATCTGTTGATTTGGTGCCACGCTAAAGATGAAGCTTTGTGAAACAATACACACTGTTAGAGTCATTGAAGCAACTCGCGCGTTTGTTGCATTTGTGTTTACAATGCTGTGTGTTAAAAATCTTGTTTACTTGAGATACAAAATTACAAAATTTAAATGTGTTTTATACACATGTATGTTGACTACGTTAAAGTGAGTGTAGAGATAGTATATGTTGAATACGTTACTGTAACTGTATATATATGTATGTTAAATACCTTGTTGTGAGTGTAGATACACATGCATACTATTAAAAAAGAATTAAAATAAAAGAAACGCATAAACCCGGAAATCCGTTGCGAAAATGTTGTATTTTCAAACATGTATAACTCGTCCACAAATAGACTTTAGTGCATGAATTTTTACATCAGTTTAGAAGAAGGTAATGTCTATACAACCAAGTGGATAATTTCAGATAACGGAGACGTTCAGCGCGATGGTGACCACTTAGCATGGTCCCGATTTCGGGGCTCCTGGCTCTCAGTCCAAGAACTCTCAACCTGTTCCGTACAGTTTGAACGGATATCCTCTGGGCATGCTGGCTGCTGTCTCGCAGCCGTGGCAGTACGATCACGCAAATGTAGTACCCGGATGTACGGATCTTTGGCTGCAGTGGTGACTCGACGTACGGTCATTTGTTATACCTGTTTGGTTGTAGCGAGCTGCAAGCCGTGGTATCGTGCTCAGGCTAACATTCAGACGCCTGGCAACAGAACATTAGTAATCTCCAGCGTGCATCCCTTCAATGGCAGTGTTCCGTGTCACACCGTCAAGACGTGGCGTAGTGATTTGACCTTAAAACTCCTTCAAAACGAATGCCGATTTCCGAAAGTAATCTGGAGTTTTATAGCTAGACAGTGCATGTTCTTTGCTGCACAATTTCAACTAGAAGGTGATTTCTTTTGCGTTGTGGCGATGCCTTTTTAATCTTTGTAAGAAATCTCAACATTTTCAGGTAAAGTCGTTTTTTTACTTGTGCAATTGTGTCAAATCATGTTATCAACTCTTTTGTTACATATTTTGACGATTGTTTGAACACAGTAAGTTTGAACACAATGAACTGACATTAAAACTGAGACTTATGAATAACTTGGCCACTTTTAAAACCTATCTCAAGACCCATCTTTTCTCAAAGACATAGGCCTAGACCGAGTGGACATTGCTGATACAGGTCACATGCATCCTCTCAAAGCGCTTTTGAGCAGTTATACTGACTGGATTCTTGCGCTATAGAAGTTCTTAGTTGATGATGATGAATAGGTAATTGATAGATTTTAAAAAATACAAAACGCCTATGCGTTTCTTTTTTTGGATACTAAGTATATTTACAGAGAGTTACGAATGTTAGCTATGCACATTTGTGTAGACAAGAATGTTACATTATTCGGTGATACCAGTGCTCTGAGTGCACACTGGCCAAATGCCTTAAACGACCACACAGTTCGAGGACCTCACACAATTGAATATTTCTTCAAACACTCAAATATTTACATCTGATCTCAACATGGATTGCAAATACCTTTCAATGAAAGAAAATTCATAACTATTTCGCTGCACATGTTCATGCTGAAATCCATTGTTTTCTAAATTGAATATGTTTTTATAGTATGAATATTTAATGCACATTTGCAATTATATTCCTTTCAATGAAAACATTGAAGTTGTACCACCTAGTAGAATTTCTACAGTATTGACACTTAGGAATTTTTACAACTTTGCAGTGTTCCAGAGTGATGCCACGTGTTTTGTATCACTATGGTATAGCATTTGTTATTTATAGATGACATAATGGTATGTCATTTAAGCTTAATAACACAATACACACATCTTGATTAACACTCCATCGGTTCATATTCCATGAATACGGGCTATTTCAAATCACTGCTGCTATTTAAGAGTCGCAACATCCCTCCAGGATCATGTACCCGTGTCATCAGCTTTATGAAGTGTGTATAGAACTAATGTCATACAATATTTAACCATTACCGTGACCTAAACGAATATTGCCCTAGTAACACACATCTTACATTACCTATATAACCAATCAGCCGTGCAATGTATTTAAAAGACCTCTAACAATACTGCCGTGTTCTAGCCACAGCTGCACTGAAAGAAATACAACGAATTTGACAATGAAAGAAGTCAATGTCTATCTTAAGGACACGGAGGACAAACCGAAAAGAGAGTATCGCGTACATTCCAATCAGGAATGAAGTCAATGTACATTGCATTTGAGCGATTAATCCTTTGAAATTGGAACGACACCAACGGCATTGTATGCTCTGTCGTTAATGTTTTCTATCAATGTGTGAGAATGAGAGTGTCTGCAAATATACTGTCATTGTCTGTGACAAGACGTCACCATTGCCTAGACAAAAATGTAGATAAATGAAAGGAAACCCACACCGAGTGATCTTCGTGTCATAATGAATTTAAGACAATGATTTGTAAATATTATTTTTTCATGACCATCTGATCCAGTTCGTCATGACAAACACCATGTGAGTAAAATGAACAAAACATACACTTGTTCTTTTGTTACGCAGGAATTACTTTTTCAAGGAATACAATCGTCAATACAAACCACGCAACCATTATTCTACATTCTAAGAGACAGCTCA